AATAGTTAGCCTAGAAAACTCCATTGTGCTGGGTTTTATAAGAGTTAATGGGTGCGTTCTTCTCAAGCCCCTCGGTAGGTTTGATACATCTTAGGAATTGCCTACCAGCATTATCCTACAACGCTATCATGAACGACACTAGGGTATCGGTCAGTAGGTTGCTGAAAATCTCTTTAGATATGTGAGATAGAGTCATACATTATCGACTAACCCTGACAAGTGAGATACATACGTCTCAAAAATCCTAATGCTTTTATATTACATCATCTTGATTGACAGCAAAGTTACCAACTTAACTAGTAGACTTCAGTCAGCATCTGATTTGTCTCGAAATATCGATTTCTGAGGGGCAAGTAAGGCATAGTTTCTTACCTTTTAGTCTTCAGTGAACTACAATAATCATTGGGCATTTGTATAATATAAGAGTAAAACTTGTGCACTGTGGTAATTCCATTTTTATTGATTTATTACATTTATCACAATGTGGGACAGTATTGTTTACTGGATTACGTTTCGGACGTAATTTATTGTCCATAGTCATATCAAGATAACTACACAACTTTGAGATATCCTTTATATGGTCCTAATTTTCTCGTCTCTTTGTGAGATGGGCAGTAAAATTTTCCATATATCCGGAACAGGTGCTGAGTCATTCCTGTTGCATATGTTAGGTGTTGATTCGATAAACAAAGATCTAAAACAAGAGACCAGATACATTAAAGACGTCTTAATCACCGACAATTACCCTCCCAAGTTAATTGATAAGCACCTTAGGAATTGTAAGAAGAATATCAGTAACACGTGTTATTAATAGTAGTAATAATAGTAGTAGTAACGACAACACTAATAGTAATAATGATGTTACTAATAGTAGTGCAATACTGTGAATAAGGAATTCAAAACCTTCACAGTATTACCGTACAAAGAAGGCACCTCAGAAACACTACATAGAATTCTCAATAAGGCTGGGATTATAGTAGCATTTAAACCAACAAACTCACTTTGAAATAAGCTTTGTAGGTTAAAAGATCCTATTGACCAAATTAAGCGGAATAACTTAGTTTACCAAATCCCTTGCAATGATTGTGAGGTCAAATACATAAGTCAAAGTAGTCAATCAGGATCAATTAGGTTATCGGAACACAAAAACTTGCCTAGGTCAAAATTGGTAAGGTAAGGAATTTAGAAAAAAGCTCAGCCATAGCTATGCATGCAATTATACACAACCACACAATAGGATGAGACAGGGTGAAAATTCTAAAAACTAAAATAACAGGGTGGAGGAGAGACTGATAACTGAATCTTTGTTTGAAACAATTAGTCCCTTTAGTAAATTTCGATAACTCTATTAGAAGACGAAGATTATCTGAAAAATGTGATGTATTTGCGCAATACATTTCGAACAATCTGATCACACATTTACTTGTCAAGTCAATTTATATATGAAAGTTAAAGGTCAAATATAGTGAATATGAAAAGTTTCAAGTTGTTATTCATCGAAGACTGACATCAGTTGGAGGAACAAAGGAAACCTGGGAGCACTGGACAGCTGTTACGTCCTAGTATGGGACTCCTCAGCAGTGCGCACCCACGACCCCACCAGCAGGGATCGAACCCGTGACCTTCAGGTTCCGCGGCCAGCGCGTTACCATTGAGCCACTGGGTCAGAATCCAATGCTCCATATTTCCAACTTCTGTTAGCTCATGATATATAGTGCAGCCGCCATCCAATGTCATCGCTGAGTATTTGTCCTCATGGCCATCAGGCTTTGACTCCACCGGTCACGACTTGTCATTGGAACTTCGGGAATACTTCTCGAAGCTAGTCACCAATGATCATCAGTTCAATTAAATTTTTGAGGGGGTTGTGACACTAGTCTTGGTAATATAATCAGATAAGGATTACAAAGATAAATTAAGTGAAACAACAAATTGTTTTTGCTCACACAGCGGAGGACAAAGTTTACGAATATCTAACGCTTCGGCAAACTTCAGTATGCGCCCCTGATTATTCCTGTATATTATCTTAAACGCTGTTTTCGTATTAACCCTGTGATTCATTTCAATAATATGTTTTGCTATAGATGACGATGGATGTCTGTCACCTGCACTTATCAAAGTTTGTGTGTTAAACTGTTTTTCTAGCCATTTGGGGATGTGTTCACCCACCCTAGTCTGCATTGAACGATTACTCCTCCCTATGTATGTGTGCCCACACATACATGTAAATTGGTAAACGCAGTAGGATGTGATGTAATCATTTGTGCGAGGTTGAGGTTTGTGGTGAAGCAGGTGTTTTGTCGTCTCAACAATTATAAGCTGAGCTGCATAGTATGTTTTACTGATAACAGATTTTAATCTCTGCTTCAATATCATACTACTTGTTTCCCCTCTGTATGGTACTTTAAGAAATATGCTTTTCTTCGGGACCGAGGAAACTGTAGGCTTTGGGGTCAACTGTTTTTACAATGGTTGACAAACTGTAATGGATAACCGTTTTCCACTAGAGTGTCTGTCAGAAACTTATTCTCATCATCCATCGTATCAGATGTACAAATACGTTGGATTCTATTGAACAAGCATCTTACCAAGCCTCTCTTATATTTCATCGGACAAAAACTATGGAAATTCAAATACTGTCCTGTCCAAGTAGACTTCCTATATATTGATCGTTTATAGATCCATCTTCCCTCCGGCACAAGAGTATATCAAGAAATGCAAGTTGATGGTCTTTTTCTTCCTCACATGTCAGACTGATATGATCTTGTACGGTATTAAGCCTTTTTAACAACCTCTTGGCATCCTCATCTGTGTCACATATTACAAAGATATCATCCACATACCTTCTATAGAGTGTGACATTGGTGATTAGATCTTGAGCCATTAGTTCAGTATGTGACATATATACATCAGCTAATAACGGTCCTAATGGACTCCCCATGGCTACACCATCAATTTGCCGAAAGTGTTCACCTTCGAAAGTGAAATGAACCTTATCAGTACATAATAAAAGCAGTTCTTTCAAATAAGTTGAAGGAATAGGGAAAGAAGGATAATTCGAAGATATGTGGTCACAAAGAATATTAATTGTCTTCGTTAGAGGCACATTTGTAAACAGAGAGTTAACATCAAAAGAATACATTTTCTTATTTTTAATATTCAAATCAGTAAGATAATCAACAAGTTCAAACGTATCTTTCAGTGAATACTTACATAAATCATTACGAATCGGGCTCAGTAATTCGGCTAACCACCTCGCCAATTTGTGTGTGGGAGACTGACACATTGACAATATTGGGCGTAGTGGATTATCAATTTTGTGAATTTTTGGAAGTCCATATAGATTTGGGAAATTAGATCCCATGGGTTTCAAGGAATTAAACTCCGCTTTAGCAATGACATCCGTGTTAAGGAGTTTAACTAGACTAGTTGTTACTTTTCTTTCTAATTTTCTTATATCCTCTGACGGAACATCTGCCAAGAATTTACTTTTATCACAAAGAATAGACAACATTTTATTTTTGTAGTCTACTTTGTCCATCAACACAACACCTGATCCTTTATCAGGCTTAAGAATTATCACATCAGGATTCCTCTGTAAGTTTTTCAGGGACTTGAAGTGTTGCGTAGTTAAAATGCATCTCTGTTTCGGACCTGGGTTATGAAATTGATGGGCTATATCAACTAGTTTAGCCTTCAACCAACTCTGGTTGTCCGAAGAGGTAGGGACTAGAGAAGTTAACTGATCATATAAATTTTCGAAATGGGCATCGATGGCTAAATCATTGTTATGATGGTATGGGACAGAAAAATTAAATCCAAGGAAAAGAGATTCTTCCTCACATATATATTCATATTCACTATGTTTGACCTTTAATTTTCATATATAAATTGACTTGACAAGTAAATGTGTGATCAGATTGTTCGAAATGTATTGCGCAAATACATCACATTTTTCAGATAATCTTCGTCTTCTAATAGCGTTGTCGGAATCTTTGTTTATCGAATCAACACCTAACATATGCAACAAGAATGACTCAGCACCTGTTCCGGATATATGGAAAATTTTACTGCCCATCTCTTAAAGAGACGAGAAAATTAGGACCATATAAAGGATATCTCAAAGTTGTGTAGTTATCTTGATATGACTATGGACAATAAATTACGTCCGAAACGTAATCCAGTAAACAATACTGTCCCACATTGTGTCAAATCTAATAAACCAATAAAAATGGCATTGAACATTCGAATTGTTTGGGATGATTCTAGAATTTCATAAATGTTTTCCAATCATTTTTCTCACAGTTTCAAATAAAGCGTGTGTTACATAAACGGTACAAAGCTTGGAATGATCGAAAGCATACTGCAATGGACTGATTAATTATCCTAGAATATGATAAGAATAGAAGTAGTCAGGTATTCTATCACTGAAAGAGGAAATATCATAATTTCTGCGGGTTTGAATTACTCATGACGTGGCTTTTGTTTCTTTGGCTTTCTTCAGCATTTATGTTGATAATGTTGTATAAAAGCATGGAAATACTATCTAGTTACAATAGAAATACCGAAAAACCCTACAAAAAGTTATAATATTTTCTCTGGCTTCAATAGATATATAAAGCGGTATAAATTAGAGAATACTTTATAGTCACATTTACAACTCAAAAAGAACTATGAGCATTTATTCCGAAACAAAAAGTATGACTGTTGAATCACAAACATTTTTCTCCTCTTTTATTTTGTATCTATACACATGAATCTAATAAGAATGTAAATGTGGTGTTATGAATTCAAGCAATCATAGAAACAATGATCCATTTCCCATTGCCTATTCAAATTTCGTTCACTGACAGATACTAGTTACTTTAAGTGTTAACTGTTTTCATATTGTTGAGTAATTTAAAAATCAGTAAGCTGTATTCACTTTTGTACTGCATTCTATTTATACTTTCCTTAAATAATGTATAACTGTCATATTTCACTGTTTTATATATTTTCAGTGCAACTGGTCAATAATTCAACTAATATCACTAGCTCAATAAAAGATATAGATAAAGTCAGAGTTAGATACGCTTCAGCTTTGGCTTTGTCAATGGGACTTGTACAAGTAAGATAAAAAGAATTTGGAAAAACTGATAGTTGAAAAAACTTGGAAGTACATTTCTTGTGTTTTTATTTTATGACAAACGACACAAGACTCATTGCAGTTTTGATGTTATAGCAAGCACATGAAAGTTAGATTGCAAATATGATCACAGTTTTCTGTCACTCACTGTTAGCTAACCAACATAATAGAAAAAGTATTCCATCACTTTAAAAATCTGTAAAATATCGCATGTTACAAAATATGATACTCGGAAAATTTATCTTTATAAAATTCCAAACAACTACAACAGTTGCAATCTTTCATCCATAAGATTAACCTTTGGAACTGTGAAATAAAATATTCTTTCCCTTTGGTATGTAAATACTAGGTGATCGTGATTGCAGATGATACTTTTATTTAACATTTCCCTTTACCTATACTATCATGATCCAAGATCGGTACACTGACGATAAACATGCATAAGAGACATAATCTGAAATTGATAAAGTAAAAATGTTTGCATTTTGAGACTATGTAGGATACACTTCCAAATTGATTTCATCAGGCTTCCTTATATAATATACTACCACTAAATCTTTGTGTGAGACATTTCACTACAGCTTGAGACATAGAAGGAGGATTGACTGCAATTAAATGCGTCTTGTTTTCAAAGTCATAAGTGGAAAGCTAATCTTTTTAAAATACTTAGATGATGTTCACTGACATCTGTTATTTCTAGGCTTTTATGAAAATGCAACAAAGAATTATCAGTTGAATTTTGAGGGAGTTGTGGAGATTTGGAAATATTTCAAGTTGTTGACACCAAAGACTGACATCAGTTGGAGGGACAAAGGAAACCTGGGAGCACTGGACAGCTGCTTCGTCCTAGTATGGGACTCCTCAGCAGTGCGCACCTATGACCCCACACCAGCAAGGATCGAACCCGCGACCTTCAGGTTCTGCGGCTGGCGCGTTACCATTGAGCCGCGGAGCCTGAGGGTCGCGGGTTCGATCCTTGCTGGTGTGGGGTCATAGGTGCGCACTGCTGAGGAGTCCCATACTAGGACGAAGCAGCTGTCCAGTGCTCCCAGGTTTCCTTTGTCCCTCCAACTGATGTCAGTCTTCGATGAATAACAATTTGAAAGAATTATCAGTTCCGTTTAAATTAAATTGAGACTGATCTAACTATGATTCGATACCATATAAAAAATCACTTAGGGTCAATGAAGTTAATGAATAGATATTTGCACGTAGTTTATAACTCCTCAGTAAAAAAAGGTTCAGAAAAGTTTATTGAAATAAATTAGATTCCAGCAGAACACTTCACTGAATTACAAATAAACATTTATCATAGTAGAGGTTTAAAGCTCACTATGAGGATGGTAATTTTTCACTTTTCTGCAAACTGTGAAGTGTCATTTCATTACCAGGCTATGTGACTCAATTCTCATTTAATTCATAAAGAAGACAAATCTTTCAAAGTTACACAAATTTTTATGAAAGATATTTATTGACTTACAGTGTTATTGGCATGAAGTTAAGGTTGACGCTGATGACTTTTATTTTCACTTGACCTATGCTATTGGACTGAAGTCTAATTATTGATTTATTTGACTGATTTGGACTTGACTGATTCCCTCCTATTATTCCATATATTGAGTCAATATCCACCTGGCTGTTGATCTCCATTTGGTTGAAGTACCGCACTTCCAGAAATTTAGTTGCAAATTTCGTGCGTTATTATTGTAGCGATTCAACTTTTACCAATCATATTCGTGGTTTTGCTTATTTAAGAACATCGTTTTCAGTTATGATATAGTATATCCTATGACTGCTACTGGATGCTCATTAGCTTTCTGAGTATTTGACTACTGGATTGGCTAAAATAGTGAGCTTCACTGCCATCGCAACTAATTTTATAGATTGTATTCTTCTTGCCTCATCTGGATGATGGATTCTTAAGATTCTGTGTGATGTTGTGCAGACTTATCGGTAGTATATGTTTTACGCTTATATCAGATAAATAAAGAGCTCAGCTGGCAGTTCGCATGACATCTTTAGCGTATGATAGTGTGACCTATTTTGTAGACTTAGGTAACTTTCCGCATGAATGTTTTATTGTTTTTCTTTTCTTAATGAAGTTGATTTGGTAGTCATTGGCTTTGAACATTTTGCAAAGATAGTTTACTTCTGGCTTCCACAGTTTCTGAGAACTGTAATAAATTCTAATACATGCGAATAGTACTCTCACACAGCTGTCCTTTTGAAACGCTGGGCTATTACTGTTGTGTTTCAAAATTTAATCTGTACTTGCACTTAAGTCTGTAAGATTCCATCATATGCTCTTCCAATAAACACCTCTAGGAAGGCGACGTCTCCATTTTCTTCTTTTTTTATCAGCTGAACACCTTTAAAGGTTGGTTGGTGAGGGTGGAGGTGTTTTGTGATTTACTTGTTTTGATGATTTAAAAAGCGTCTTCAACGCAACGAGCACAAATTTGCCCTCTGATTGTTAGAATGATAATTGATTCTACTCCATGTATGACTACTTCATTTATCAATTTGAATGTTAGTCAGTTTATGGCAGTCGTTTTCGTTTGTTTCAAGATGTTTCCCTTGAAGTGAAAGTACGTCGTTAGACGTGGATTGATTAGTCCTATCAAATTTGTAGTAATTTTGGTACAGTTTCGAATATTCTATTCATCTCTGAGGGGTTGTTTAGTGTTTCTATGGCCAGATATAGGTTGACTGATATAAAAAGTGCAATGTCGAATCTAGGTTGGACTGAATCACTCGTTTTCACTCGCCAGTGTTCTTCTTTCATAATCTAACCAGCTCTGGTTACACTTTTCAATTTTCTTTGGACTCGGTTATTCAGTTGTTTGACAAGGTTCTAGTCCACCAGTTGATGAATAGTCTTATCATTCAGTAGTTCTTGCGCTTTTTCCACATAATCTGTTTATGATGATGGTTATCTTTCCTTTTTCTGTTGTTAGTATAGCACTTTTTCATATCTGACATGATTGAATTCAGTGCTTTCTTTTCATCTGTGTTGAGTTGATGCTTTCTCCCCTCGGTTTTCGTGAACGACATGACTAGCAGTCGTAGTTCTTACTCTTTTCTGGCTGTTACTCCTGTAATTCTGGGTGATGGTCTAAAGACAACACAGAAATCCAACATATTCACATTCCCTGTGTTGTAATTCAATCCATTTCGGGGTAAATCGTATTCTGTCAGGGATAAGTTTCTTTCTGAAAGGTTCACTAACCATTCCCCTTTATTTTCGCCTCTGGTTTGAAGTACATAAGTAATCTTTTCTCAGTTTCTTCCTTCTTCTTAGTTTTTTTTTGGGATTTTTGTTATATTTATGGTGAATTTCAAACCTCAAAGAAAATCAAACAAGTAAAAACAGTGAATTAAGGACTATGGAAATGAGTTCATAAAAATGTTAATGGATACCTAGAACTCATCGAGTCAACCAACTCAAATGCTATATTAAAAGTGTGTAGATAGCTCTGGATGGTAGTTATTACACACTGTAAATGAAAGTTAGAAAAATATGAACAACTGAATTTCACTGTATCAGAAAAGAAATTGTGCTTTCGAACCAAAATCTTCAGCTTATAGATTCGGTTTTGAATTGAGTGGTATGAGTGCTGACGTACAGGAGATTGTGTAGACGAATATTGTGGCTTGTTGTCATGACTACACTGAACATGATTCTTGCAGTTATATCCACGATCAGAAAATAAAATTAATCATCAGACATAATTTCAAAGTGCAGATTAGTCAGAAATAAACCAGTGCCTACATTACAACATTTGTACAACATGAACAAATAAATTTAATTTTTCCGTTGCCGTTTTACAGGACTATTGTCTTCAAAAACTGCATCCTCCAAACTCTCTATCTTTTATTAATTGGCGATTTATTTTTCTGATCATTTAAATTTTCGCAATGATTCTTTTAACTCCCTGATAATTTCAAATAGTTTCTTATGTGATTATCATTTAATTTTTTAGTTCTGCATGGGGTTATTCAGATTAGGAGTTCTAATTAGATATTTTTCTGTACCTATGACATCTGGATTCACTGTTGGAGTAGCTGTTCATGTCTTTACAAGTCAAGTGAAGAATGTATTGGGTTTAAAAATACCCAGGTTTGCTGGTGTATTCACCATACCACGTGTAAGTCTGCGAACATTTGTTTTGTCATCGGTATTTCTCTTAATTTTTGTTTCCAGTTTTAAACATGCCATTTATTTTGAATATCTAAACAAGCATCATATAGTTTACTACTATAACATGAATTTAAATACAAACTGCGGCTACTGCTTATTAGTTAACTTTGTGTCTTTTTGTATCAAGGCTAATTCATATGGCTTACTGAGTAAAGAAAAGTTTGCAAACTATATGTGAATATTTCAGTTAGAAAACCTAAAGTACTTGAACATATATACGTACCTCATCTCTACTGCATTCCCCTTTTATCCTCTTTTATTTTAAAGGGTTTCGTTTAGCAACTGAAAGAATGAGCTGTTTAATCAACCAGACAATAGGGTGTTAATAGGTTAAAATTGTTAATCCACATTGAAAAGTAAACATTTTTTACGATGAAAATTTTCTCTGTGATGATTTATTTATCATGGCATCAAAATCATAATAGTGTCTAACGTTAAGCAGTAAGAACAAATTTATTTGCAGATATGTTTCACTTTCTCAGTAAGAGGAATTATGAGGTCCATCAGTATGAATGAGGATAATACTTCGTGAGTAATGAATGCAATTCATTGGAAAATATGGAAAACGCAAGGTAAGAAATGCAGAATACAATAACAGTTGATTATGATAAAGGGAGACAACTCCATGTAATAATTACACTAAATGCAATACCGTAAAAAATACGAGGATTGACCGCTCATTCAAAAATGAAAATGTTATAATTTAGCCAAGTACAACAGTATAAAACGGGAAAAGACTAGAAACAGAAGGGTTTGCGAAGCACCTTGAGGATATCAAAGACTAGGTTCTCAGCTTCAACCTTTGATCTCTAACTCTAGCTTGTGGTTTTCAAGAAGTTGAAACATCCTATCAGCAATGAGACACTAACATGAGATAATGAAGCAATGGGCCATTTGGTTCACAATTTGATTACAATAACCTTTGTGAACTTAGAGTAAAATTGCCATTAAAGAAAAACGTTTTAGTGCGGTGGCCAAACTTCTTGACAACTTTCTGCATCCATCTATGTTATTTCAATAGCCTGAATACTAAATATTGGTTTATTACTGCAATCCAGATTATGCAGACGATGGCTTGATGGCATCACACAATAAAGCATAGTGAAACCCTCATGCGTATTAGAATAGGGAAGTTACAAAAATAGGTTATACTTGTTTCAAACGCACTCAATTGATATACTTGTCTATTTGATCAGTCATTCGAGTCTAAACTTTCGTGAATTAGAAATTTATAATAATTTTACAGAATAACTTTTTTATTTCTGTCTAGAAGTACTTCTTCGGAGCACGTAAATGTTCTTATTTGCCCGTAGCGCTAACTGTTCACGTGGTTAATTTCGCATATCTTTGGTATATCTTCCGTACACCTTTGCAGTCAGTAACACAATTTACTCACATAAACACTCCTCACCTAGTACAATAGAACCAAAAAGCCTGGTAATTACATTCTTTCTGCTGTTACAATCTAGGTTATTTATACGGACTACTGAATTACCTATTAGAGTAAAACTAGGGCACTTAATTACCTATCCAAGATGCACCAAAACCCATTGAAGTGATATAACCGATTCCATACATGGAAAAAGGATAACATACACTAGTTGTTTTCATTTAACATGAGATCATTTCAAAACCAAAAGTCGTAAAGACATGCATGAGCTGTCAATGTATAGTTCATGAGCTGTGCTCGACAATAATGTCTAAGAAATGTGCAGGAAATCTTGATGCAAGTTGGAATTCATTGACAAACTTATAGAATCCTATCTGCATTATTACAGTATAGTTTACTGTCCACTTCCTTCTGTTAAGTCTTTTTTAAAACAAATAAATAATCATAGCTACTTGTTCGAAACATATCGAGATCCGAGTTTATTGTTAATACATCTGCCAACTTTCTCATTAGAAAAATTAATATTTATCCAAACTCCTAAAGGAGTATGATATACACATCATTTTGTATAATTTTCCTTTACTTGTCTTTCAAGTGCAATATAATTGTTTTATTCTAGTAGTTTAACGTGTAAAAAGAGAAGTGACAGTTGTCTAATTACAATTACTTTTCATTATTTTACCGACAGTTGTTATGGGTGGATGAATTTAACTCACAAATTAATCGCTAAGAATCATCATAACATTACTTTGTAGTATTAATTGAATAGCTATTGTCAGTACTTTCGAAGTCCTTAATTAGGAATTAAATTTACTAAATACATGAAATATATTTGTAAAATCACAATGAAGTAGAAAAATAGATTTCTAACGTTTCGCGACTTCATGGAAATCGCTTCTTCAGAGAATAAAAGCTGTACAACTTATCGATTGGTTAAATAGTGAATATATTTCATTTATAATTTATTTATCCAAGGCTAAACTTACCTTTATTAGGTCAGATTTTGTTCTTCAAGTTTATAAGATGAATTTCAACTTTTACACTTACTGAAAATAAAGCGAATGACGAAATATCGAAAACAAGAAACTTTTCAACATGGGATTGCGTATCTGGAACATATTAACATGGTAGTGATACCACAGAAGTAGAAAACTGTGGACGCGATGGCTCAATGGTACTTTAGCCACCAAGAACAGTAACCCTGGTGGGGTCATGTGTACGCACTGCCAAGAAGTCGGGCACTAGAAGAGAGTGGTTGTCCAGTGTTCCCAAGTTTCCAGTGGTTCTTCAAATGATGGTATTTCATGATAAGTACCAACTTGAAGTCAATAAATCCCAGCAACTCACTTAATTGATTTGAGAGAGCTTGGAAAATTTCATTGAATTTTCAAACCCATGTTTTGTGATAGTTATATTTCCATACATATTACGCTTCTTGTGCATGCATCGTTGGTATATATATATATAACTAATATCCCATTTTAAAACTGAAGTGGGAGACCAATTATATGTGGATGACTTTTACTCCTATCAATGTGCTTAAGTTGGTTTTTAATTGTTCAGCGAAGTCAAAAAGGCGCTTATGAAAGACTGAAAATTAGTAAGTGGGTACTAGGTCTAGCAGTGTATGCATGAACCACTTTTTGCTAGGGGAATTGAAACCTGCCCTTTCGTCACTTGGTTCCTTGTTCATGATGCAAAGTGTTGAAACTGAACATAGTTTCCTTGCTATTCATGTTCATAGCTGCGTTAATCCTGCGTTTCTACCGTAGCTTTTGTACGATATTAGTTTGTGACTATTATAAAAGTTAACACATTTATTTAGAGCTTCTTAAAACCTCCTCTCAATGTAATAGTTGATAACGGACAAGGCTTCATGATTTCAACTGAAAATTTCTGAGTTGAGGGTTTGCTGTAATGATGACGTTAATTACTGAACAATAGCCTTGTTATTTCACAGGTTTACTACACTCTTATTCACTACTTTCTTACGCTGGAGAATAAAAGGTTTTATTAACATTATTTTTACAAGCGTAGCATTTTTTTCCCTTGGGTTCCTAGTGAAATATAGGGCTTCAGTAGCACGCCCCCATTACACTCTATTCCCTGCAGTCTTTTGAACCTCGCTCCACAACCGCCCACAACCTCTCATTTCTTCCTCACACAATCTCCTCAATGTCACCCTCACCACGAACGCCCAACTCACCGTTTCCCCTTCGGATTCCACTCGACGGCCTGACCTGTCACATGATGTCCTCGAATAGTCTTCTCACTGCATGCTCAATCCAATCCATCTCCACTTCCTCCTGCATATTTGTTGAATGATAGGTTCTTGGTTAATTCGTTGTCAAACCAGAGTTCCTTGTTACTTATTCTTATTATTCTGGTCATCTGATCTGATCTTCAGTAAGGAGTGAGTGTAGGTGGCAGTTGTTGATGAATATCTGTAGATTGTTGGAAATGCCTCACGTAACGCGCCAAGTCTCTCAAACATCACACAGAAGCACTGACTTGACGTTGGTGTTGAAAATTCGGATCATTTTCACGCTTTATGCTGAGTGCAGTAGATCTCTGTCTTGCTTTCCTGATCCTGGCTGGTTTTGACGTCCTAGTCTGTGCCTGTGCCACCTGTAGTTAAAAGGATACTGCCTAAATAGGTGAAAGAGTCAAGGGTAGCATTAACATACTTAAACGAAGAATTGACACTAAGTGCTCTGTTTTTGTAATCTATACAAATAGTCAGCTATACAGGCTTAACTTTATGAAATATCTGCTGACCTGACCTACATAAATGAGTATGCTGCAAAAGAATACAACAGATTATTGCACTTACAGATTTTTTATCGGTACTCTTATAATTTTTAACTCTTGTGGACTTGATATCTCTCTTGGATTCCCAATTTGTATTGATACACCTTACATATAACGTTAGATGTAAATGATGCATAAGTGTTTAGTTTTAACTGCACAGTAAGTTTAATTTTTAAGTTAATTGCTATTTTCTTCTTAAACCCACAGACATACTACGAAATCTTTCGTAACATTCAATATGTCAATATACCTACAATGTTACTTGCTGGTACATGCATTACAATTTTAGCCGTTTATAAGGATTGGATTAGTCCTCATGTTAGGAAGCTTTCAAAAGTTCCAATACCAGTGGATTTAATTGTTGTAAGTATAAATGCTTTAAACTTATGCAAAATACGTATAAACACTGAAAAAACTTCATCGTGAATGTCTTAATTTATTAAACATTAATGTAGCTCCATGCAGTATGTATATATTTGCCAACCTATTGGCCAAAATTATTATTAAAGGGCTCATGATATCACTAGGTCGCTTGTGTCAAAGCAAATGAAGTGAGAGTGAAAATTGGAACTTATTACTTGAGACCCCAATACATTAGTGAATGAGCTACATCCCCATTCGTTCAGTAGAAGTCACTGAATAACATCTTTTGTTGGATATATCCAAGTCAGTTTAAAACATGACTGCGAATGTAGTTCCAAAGTTGTTATAAGATTTCAAGACGTGAAACTCTGACATTCTCTGTCACACATGACGACACTGTCGTCTACAACTTTACAAATTATACAACTTAGAAAACGTTTTGAGTTAGGAGAATATCACACGTTTTGGTAATGGGAAGAAGAGAACTAACTTACATCGTTGTAATACTTGTGAAATATATCCACATAAGAGGAAGGATCTAGAAATACTTAGTTCCAGTGTTATTGTTAGGTCTAGATGTCAAACAATTATTTTTCCATGCATCTTCTGTGTGAATGGTTCAATCAGGGAACCTATTAATTTTTTTAATTGTTATAGCTTTATTCGAAACAATATGTTCCATATAGTATGGAATTCTCAGCATGTAGCAAATTAACAAATTTACTCCCGAAACAGGATTTTCAAACAAATGATTATAATCTCTGAATGATGTTCATAATAATAGCATCAAAGGTTATACTGTAAAACAGCCGGTCGATGTTGGATTAGCATCCTCTGTTTAGTGGTGGTGGTTCGTTTACCTAGTGGAAGAATTATACATTCCAAATAGGTATCCAATAAATAGAAATATGATATATTTTTATGCATTCAGAACCCGCTGTCGTCTCATATGACATTTTTCATTCATTATTACTTCAAAAAACAACTAGTTTGGAGCATTTTTAAAATCCCCAGGAGTACACTATACGTTTGGAGGATATATCTGAGAGATTAAAACGAACTGAAAGGTAGGAATATGATATGATATGTTTGGTGGAAAATTTTGCCACATAGTGATACGTCGTAATAGTCACTTCGGCTCTGTTGTCGTTTAAGTGCATCTTTCATAACTGATGCTTTTTACCCAGTTTTGAAAGTATAGTGATCACTTAATGAAACAGCGTTGCTTCACTTCATATCAATAGATAGTAAAATGATTGTAATAAGCTGTAAAGCTGTTACTCAAGGATTTTCAAGTCTAACATACTGATTATTATTATTGGGTTCCTGGTAGAACATAGGGCTTCAGTTGTACGTCACCATTTCACTCTATTCTCTCTAGTCTTTTGAACCCAGTTCCACGACTACCCACAAGCTGTCATTTCTTCCTCACACAATCTCTTCCATGTTACTCCCGGACGCCCAACTAGTTGCTCCCCCTTCGACTTCCACTCGACGGTCTGGCCTGGCCTGGCCTGGAGCGTGTTGTCCCCGAATGGCCTTCTCAGTGTATGTCCAATCCAATCCATCTTCGCTTCCCCCTGCATATTTGTTGGGCGATGGGTTCTTGGTTGGCTTGTTGTCAGCCAGCCAGCCAGCAAGCCAGCAAGCCATCCATCCATCCAGAGTTCCTTGTTGCTTATTCTTATTATTCTGGCCATCCGATCTGATGTTCAGTATGGAGTGAGCGAGGATAGGCGTCAGCTGTTGATGAGTGTGTGTAGTTTGTTGAAAATGCTTTTCACGACGCGTCAAGTTTCTGAACCATATAGAGGCATTGACTTACTTGGTATTAGTGTTGGAAATCCGTATCTTGTTCACGCTTTATGCTGAGTGTAGTGCAGTTCAGTAGATTTCCACAGTAATGGAGATCTACTGATAAGTTGATAGACTGATAACTAGATTAAATGTAATTTATTTCTAATCTATAAATGTTCTTCTGAACTAAATTTGTATCTTGTTGATTATCGAATGAATATTTATTGGATGAGTTTAGAATTGCCTTCCAAGTAGACAATCCATGGAGTCATATAACAGTTTTTCAACGAACTGCGAAGTTGTGTTGTCTTGGCAACAGTTTACCTGCATACTATATAATGTACACTCTGATTTTTCATACGTCAGATTATACTTTGGTTCTACAATATGTTTTGAGTAGCTTAATAATATCTTAGTACGGTAAAGTAAACATCTATTTGTTTTTCGCGTACCTTTTTTTCTATGCCTACGCATACGAAATTTGAACAAAACACTTTCATGTTTCAGAAACTGACATTTTACCCATAATGTACCAGTCAATTAAAAATGCAGATTATACAACACTTTATATCAAGTAAAGTTTGATTCGTTATACCGATAATTTTCTCTATTCATGCTGGGTAGCGACTGAAAGTGAGGCAAAAATTTCATTCGTGGGAGAGCTCAAATCACTAGTTTCCCGTGTAGTGGTTCAGCGTCCTGTCAGCAACCTTTTGACTGACTATCCATGAGATTCTCCTTCTTAAATTGCTTCATTTCTTTATAAAGATATAGACATCTTTCAGCTATCACGACTATCTTTAAAGTGCAGCAAGTAGCTCTTTATACTTTATAATACTTACTGCCTGATTAAGTGTCCTAAGCTCTTCTATGATCAAGCTGAATTTGTTAGAAAGAGGAAAGAAATGTTTTCACTATCTGGTTATTTTAATCATTAGTTTGGTACGACAAAGTTTTCAAACATGAATCATAACCGATAGACTAAAACACATCTGAATGTTGAAAGATTTTAAAATTATTTCAATTCTATAAATTTTGTAGCTTTGCTTTCAAACACTTCTGCATTTTCCATATGTTCAATGTAATAGGTCATCCTTTCGACGATTGTATCATATTATCTTGATTTGAATGGCAAATACAACGTGAGCATCGTGGGTAAAGTTTCTAAGGGGTAAGAAATGATTTGTTATTTAATAGAATGATGGTTGAAATGAACTGCGATATATATATATATGTATGGATTTTTAAGGTAGTATTCATCATGGATGACGTCATATAGAGAATGATTGGTAAAATAGCAGCACCGAACAGCTGTTTCGTCCTGTTGTGAGACTCCTCAACAGTGTGGACCCACAACCGTACGAGGGATCAAACCTAGAATCTTCAGGTTTCACGGTGAACGCGTGAACCGTACAGTCACTGCGTCGAAATTCATTGGTGAACAGTTTCTTTCTTCTGTCACTTCTTTTTTTAATGCGATTACCCACCAAGTTCTTCGGTAGTTGGTGTCCGCTTCACCTGTAGATCCTCGGTTCGATCTCTTGAAGGGTTGTGAGTGCGTACTATTAAGCAGTTCCATGCTACGACGAAACAACCGTCCACTGCTCCCAGTTTTTCAATGGTACTCCAAGTGACTCTGCCCGTGATCAATACCACCTTAAAAATAAAGTCCCCGCAAACTTTTAAGATATGTATATACATAGTTTTTGATTTCTTTGATTCAGTGTGAACTGTTTAAATTACGTGAAGTAGATGAATTACAAACATGAAGATAAACATTGCGCAATGATCTAGAGCTTTACTGACATTCATTGAGGTTATTTTCCTAACTTAACATAATTTGGTTGAATCGTACTACGTAAGGTAACACTCAAATGTCTTACTGAATTTGTAAACTTACACAGAAAAGTTTGTGTTAGGATTTCAGGATGAGTTACTCTGGCTAAAGTAAGCAGAGTTTCACTGCACAAAGTACTAAAGATTTGTGAACTCAAATTCTTTTTAATCTCATATCATCAAATAAACTGCCTTATTTAACAAGAGATATGTAAAGCTGATAAATTTCAGTTAAATATCAATAGATTGTATCTTACTGTTTTAAAAAGCGAATTTGCTATAGATATCTCATTTTGTCAGTAGGTTCGCTTGACTGATGTAGCAAACAGGGATAGTATGAACGACGTTTCGTAAGCATATTTTCAATCAAATACATATTACTTGCATATTACATTATTATAGTATGTTCTTGTTTGGCATATCAAATAGGTAAACTTAGCATGACTTGCATCCCAGTGAATTATAACCGTTCTCCTTGCCTTGTAAAAAATACTTTTAATTGGTTCTTAAACAGCGTAAAATGTCTTAAAGTAATGTCGAAGACCTAAAGAAGAAACACGTACCTAAATATCTTAAGACTAGACTAATTCAGTTACCTCTTCTGGCAAGCATATGTTTTCCTGAATTAGGCAAATATAAAAAGGGACAGAGCATAATTACGGTATTGTATAATAGTGTCCAAACTATGGTTGTCACTTTTTGTAACTAGTCAGTAGTCTGATCATTAAACTTGATGTCAAAGTATTTATTATTATTATTATTCGTCCCTTGGCTTCCTACGGGAACATATGGCTTCAGTAGCACGCCCCCATTACACTCTATTCTCCGCAATCTTTTGAACCTCGCTCCACCACCACCCACAAACTCTCATTTCTTCCTCACACAATCTCCTCAATGTCACCCTCACCACGGACGCCCAACTCACCGTTTCCCCTTCGGATTCCACTCGACGGCCTGACCTGTCACGTGATGTCCTCGAATGGTCTTCTCATTGCATGCTCAATGCAATTCATCTCCACTTCCTCCTGCATATTTGTTGAATGATAGGTTCTTGGTTAATTCGTTGTCAAACCAGAGTTCCTTGTTACTTATTCTTATTATTCTGGTCATCTGATCTGATCTTCAATAAGGAGTGAGTGTAGGTGGCAGTTGTTGATGAATATCTGTAGATTGTTGGAAATCCCTTTCACAGTGCACCAAGTCTCTGAGCTAAAGTACATCCAAATATATTTCAAGGGTAAAATTCACTTGAAAAACTATATAATGCTATTTCCGCAATAGAACATGCATAAAAACTGAGTAGGTTGTGTGAAAGATCATCAAACATCTCAGAAAATGTTGTCAAAAAAATTTCACACTTCTTGATTAATGTAACACGTTGGTAGTTTGAGATAACTAACATCCTAAGTTCTGAAGACTTCAGTCACAGTAACCTTCGTTACTATCTATTTTCCTGTCTGTATGGACTTCTACTAAAAAAAAGGTTTATCATTTGATCAAAATATTTTTCGCAAAAAGGATGAGTTGCAGTTTTCTCAAGAATACCTTCCTGAAAACACACAGATGATCCGAACATAGTGAGCATAATTAACAGTTACAAACATGTATCTTTTAGTAAATCGTATTCGTATAATTCATTTATAAGCAACAATGTAGCCAGACATAGACACGAGAAATAATATAAAACTAACATCAAACATTTAACCCTACAATGCCTTGGATACATCTTTTAATTCACGTATTTAGCATAAAAAGTCCCAAACCATACCACACCACAAAATCTTACTGAAGTACTTATTCAGGTCACAAGGAGACGTTCCTCAGTATGGATGTCATAAATATAAATATCATTTGTCTATTGAATATTTGGTTGTATAAAATAGACTTTCAGTGACAATCTAGTATCTGAAGAGGAATAACATTGTGAATTACATGATACAGCTATTGGTCAACTTATATCTTAGCCTAGGCTTTTAATTTCGTTCAATATTCACTGCGTGTGTCTTAGAGGTAAACAGCAAGCATACGTGGCGATCCAGGTGACTTTACACAACTTATAATGTGAAAACTATATAATACCTCAAATAAATATACCAGATGTATATATGTCGTTGAATATAATTGTAATGAAGGGTTGAGGATTTGTCACACTAAGGATGCATTAAATTGATGCCCTTTTCACGCACGTATAGCACTATGATAGTTTAACAAGTCATTTAGAAGACTTTAGTTGTGTTTAGTCTCCCAACGAAAAACATTCACAGAAAGGATAAACTCTAGAAAGATTAGTTATCAGTGGAAAACTAAATCCTTAACTCATCCACAAAACTACGATATTCAGTTACTCCTGATGATTTCGAATAAATCTCTTACTTTCATAACGCGAATAGCTGAATTTTACTTTTAACATAGTTTATGGAAGTCACTCTCCTTCAGAATTCCAATTTTAGAAGAGTCTAGTGAACAGTGGAGCAAATGCCAATGAAAAACAGGAGTTTTAAAATTGTCTGCATCTGTCTGTAGACTTCCTAAGTCAAATCACAAGAATCTAAATACTACTTAGTCATTCAACTAACTTTCTAGCGAATCGATCACTTTTGTATCCAGCTGCAATTTGTTCAGGAAGCCTAAATGTTCAAACCAACAGAAATCATCAGATTGAACTTGATTGGTTTGCGTCTCATAAAGTTGTGCTGAAACTGTGTGACCTATGCTGACATTTTTAAAAGCTAGGTAGTCTTATATGGTTGACTATTATTCCATCAAGGTGTCCATTTGAAGCCTTTTCTTTAGTCCTGAAATATGTAAATGATAATCTGTTTGTCAACCTAGACTTATGATATTTGTCATAAAACCGATTGAAAATTTTGACGTCGTTTAGAAATAAAATATTCAGATAGGTTGATCAAATAACGAAGAGTGAAATAATTTCCTGGAAGGTTTTTCAAGAAATGGGATCCCTAAGTTTAGGTCACCCCCTTCAAAGTACCTTGTTATTCTCTTCAAATGATTTCATGGCAGATATCAACATGTGTTCAGCTCCTTTGTAACAAACAGTTACCTCCAAGAAGTACAAATTTTCACGAAAATAAATTTTCTTAAATGTAATTTCATGCTTGCTTAAAGCATTCACTGTATTCTAGCCAAGACGAACACGATTAATAAAACTGATCATTAATAAACCACAATTTGCACTGTTCGCAAACAAAACACAAAATATTTGACCTGATTCCGAATGCTTCACTGAAGTCTACCTCCAAAGATCTTGTAGATTATTTTGGTATATATTTGAAACCATCAAATTCCACCTTTTTTGGAAATTTTTAAAGGCAACCTAAACTTTTTTATGAAAAGGTTATCTTCACTACCTTCCAAAATAAAAGATTATTAATAACATCAGTTAACAATACCTTTCGACTTACCATTTATAAAATCTGTTACCATTTTTCTTGGTAAGTGTTTGTTTTATTCAAATGAAAAGTATCGATCGATTCTAATTTTAGTGTTGAACATCCAGAAGTGCCAAATATTTCAATAATGAGTGAATATATCGGTGACAGTTTTATAACTGCTGTTATTGGTATTTCAGTTAGCATATCTCTTGCACGAATATTTGCTGCACGTTTCAACTATACAATTGACACAAATAAGGTGAATGAAAGTAAATTTTGAAAAAATATTTGAATTCTTATTTAAATAATTAATTATTTATGTATTTGTATAATTTTTTATCTCAGTTATTTATATGAAGTTATATATATATATATATATATATATATATATATATACAAATTGATCATTGAAGTTTAGGCAAAAACCAGTACTTTAGGGGGCTTTGGACGATCTGGACCTCAAAAATATGGTTTTTAAATATTTTTTGCATTTACCTATAAAACAAACTGAAAAGTCTCATACAGACAGGGAGATATATATTATTAAAAGACTCGATATTAAATATAAAGTTTTCCAGTGAAAATATTCCGTTTGCAAGTGAGGTTTTGTGTAAATTATAACTAATGAAGCTAAAAACAACCGAATAAATACAAGAATAATTATGAGTACCCTGGCTGTTTGAATATGCTTTCAGAAAAAGACATTCTGTATTATATAACCAGTGAAAACTGATCTGCTTTAGGTTACCTTCAGTAAGATTTGCGGATAATTTGTAATCTTTTTAATTAAAACTCTAAAAGTAGTCTGATAGCCAGTCTGGTTAAACTTTTTTAATCTTCTGGAGATAATTGTTGAAATAATACAGAAACTTGTTCAAGAATTGTTAACTCTTGATAAACACCTTTAGAAAATGAAGATAAAAGAAGCAAACAAGTTCTGATTTAGTAGGAATAATTTGTTTTAACATTTCTCACTTTAGGCTGAAAACCAGAAAGTAGGGGGAGATATCCTTCTTAAAGAATTTATCACAGTATATGCTTGCATAAATATATGTGTTTATATACATATTATTGAATAAATGCAATCTGAGATGAGAGTCTTGGTAATGCATGATGTACATATCAATAATATTCTTATTATTATTATTATTCGTCCCTTGGCTTCCTACGGGAACATATGGCTTCAGTAGCACGCCCCCATTACACTCTATTCTCCGCAATCTTTTGAACCTCGCTCCACCACCACCCACAAACTCTCATTTCTTCCTCACACAATCTCCTCAATGTCACCCTCACCACGAACGCCCAACTCACCGTTTCCCCTTCGGATTCCACTCGACGGCCTGACCTGTCATGTGATGTCCCCGAATGGTCTTCTCATTGCATGCTCAATGCAATTCATCTCCACTTCCTCCTGCATATTTGTTGAATGATAGGTTCTTGGTTAATTCGTTGTCAAACCAGAGTTCCTTGTTACTTATTCTTATTATTCTGGTCATCTGATCTGATCTTCAGTAAGGAGTGAGTGTAGGTGGCAGTTGTTGATGAATATCTGTAGATTGTTGGAAATGCCTCACGTAACGCGCCAAGTCTCTCGACCATCACACAGAAGCACTGACTTGACGTTGGTGTTGAAAATTCGGATCTTGTTCACGCTTTATGCTGAGTGCAGTAGATCTCCATACTGGTTTCAGGTTAATGAAAACCTGTCTTGCTTTTCCGATGCTGGCTGGTTTTGACGTCCTAGTCTGTGCCTGTATCACCTGTAGTTGAAAGGATACTGCCTAGATAGGTGGAAGAGGCTACTTCCCTTAAGTTTCCCCCGTTGATAGTGATTGGAGCTTGTTGTTGTTGGTAGTGTTGGTTGTGTGTCTTTATCACCTCTGTCTTCTCTACGTTCACTTGAATGGTGTCCCATCTTCGTTTCCTCTTCTGTCAGATTGTTAGTTTTTGCCTGTAGATCTTCGAGTTTGTCTGAGTTTGTGTGGTAACGAAAGTCGACAGACCAAGCAATAATAAATTATGGACACCGGTTTCAGAGTTGAATTTACTAAAGAACGTTAAATGCGACAACAACTTGTTTTCGAACAGAAGAAGATGGCTAAGTCTGGTCACCAACTAAAGCATAGAAAATTTAGTAAATAGGAACTAATAATGTGAAAGATGCAATCCTGTTACCTATTTTAATGATAATTTTTGCTATCAAAGAGACTGAATGTTTACTACAAACGTTTATGGGTTCAGCTGATTCAATCTGATTTTGATGTCACTTTATTACATGCTCCGTAGCCGTGTGTTGCATTGGTTTGTGATTCCTCTCCATGGATGTTTCACTATACGAATATTATATTGGTAGATACATTGAGATGAGATATTGTTGTTCGCAGGCTTTAAAGGTTTAGAAGATTATACAGGTTTGATAGTTTATACTAACTTCACCCAAGAAGTAATGTATCTCTACCTAAGAACGTCTATGATTAGATTGTTCAAAAGCTTTTGTGTAAATACATTACACGATCTGAACAGATAACGTCTTCTTATTGTTTTGTTCAATTGACTGTTTAAAACTAAAGATTTTAATAACGAATTAGAACAAATGGGTTGTGTTAGATTTGGATACATTCATAGGATCAGTATGGGTTGCAAAGGGGTGAAAAGCGGTAGAATTGTGGAACATAAAGCATTATATATCAATGAGATAAATTTACTGGAATTAAACGAATGTCGGTTTCAATTCAAAGTTGACCTTAGTGTTGAAATCAGGTGAAATAACTCCGAAAACTATTCGAAGCGAAGATAGATAAATGCAAATGTTATTCTAAACATTAGGGACTTGGAGACTGTAATAGCTATGTAAAGTGTAAGAAAAGTAGTCGTAAGTAGTTATTTTATGCGTGAAGGTCAGGGTTTTGTTTTAACTAGTGAAAGCCCCCACTTTTCTGAGAAGTTGATAAGTTAAGAAGCTTGGTTGAATTTTTCTCAATCTTAAAATCTTGTTACGAATGAAAACCGTTTAAATTTCATTATTATTAAAGCTTTCTCATAGATTACAGTTTTTGATTTACTATGCCTTGTTAGTTGGTTGGAAGAAATCAGAAGGAAGCTCTGGATCTTCATTTCATGCTCATCAGTACTCGTCAGTAGGGGGTATCTATAGCCTCAAGGAAATTGATATTCCTTTGTGGGATTCGAAACAACGTCACCCAGTGTTGAGGTTAAGGAAGTTAACAGTGACCTATTCTGGCAGCGACTGACCTCCCATTGGCCAGTATAACGCACACTGACTGATCACTGGGGAACAATCAATCTCATGTCATCTAGTCTTGAGAGTCAACCGATAGAATTCATGCATGTGTACAAGTATACACATCCATAATATATTAATTGAAAGGCAGGACCTTCATTGAAAGTTTCTCCCATGACTGCACGTTGTACATATTCTTACTTTGTCTGCGAAGACAATAAAAATGATATAAAGTTAATTCAATCTTGGAGTCTGGCAGCACTTACAGAAAAGCTTTGCTGGTGCTATGAACCCTATCGTACTACTTCAAGTATGTCAGTGTAGTGTGAACTTAACATATCAAAAGTGCAACACTAAACGAATTTTCCGTATGAACTATATGAAATCACTATCCAACTCTTCACGTTACTAAATGATAGCAGGGAAACCACCTTGGTAGCTGCATCATCTCAGTGGCTGATATTTTAACAGAATAAATAAAGCAGGTTCCTTATTTTAGTAGAATTCTCTGAATGACTTTACTCTAATTACTCAGAATACTTAATGACTGAATTTGAGAAATGAGTAAAAGTTATTATGATTACTTCCTACACAAAAATGTGTTGTACATTTCGTTCCTTGAATAATTTTGAACAAAAAGTGTCAACAAAATTAGTGTTTAAAACAATGTCTCACCTTATTTCATAGCTGGTCATCAGCTTTATGTAGCCCGGAACTGACAATGAAATGTAAGGACGGAGTTCAGTCAACTTTCCAGATTAGACAACACGTAATTGATCGCCCTCATGTGACCAATTAGCTATGTGGAGTGTTAAATTGATATTACCCTTGACGTGTGCTGAAAAAGAAACTACGCTTTGAAATTCAGTGATAACAGTGAGACAGTAAGCAGAATAGATATGAAAAGGTAAACATTAGAAATTTCGATCAAAATCAACGTCAATTTATACTTGATCAAACTGGCAATTTTACAAATGAAAGGAGAAAGAGGTCAAAAAAATATTCTTATCAAAGAAAACAGTTACTCAACAGATTAAGAACTGAATAAAGACATTATTCATCAAAAACCTCAAAACAATAGTGACCAAAGATCAGTCAACAGAGAGGAAGCACTGATTCAACCAAAAGTTTTAAATATTAACCACAGTAGACACGAATAGGTCCCAATCTAAGTGTGTATCAGCATCAAGTTAAGAATAGCCGGTTCACAGGGTTTCATTGAAGTGTAGCAAACTTGGTCGTCTTTCATTTCTTTTATTCTAAGGGACTGAGATAATTCTACCTATTGTCCGGTTTTCTTTGCGTGTCTCACAAATTAATCTCATAGTTGTGGAGCTATCTTGATATGATGACTATGGGCGACAAACTATGTCCAAAAATTAATCCAGTAAATAATACTGTTTCACTGTGTGATATATCTAATGAGTCAACTAATATAAAATTACGTTGAATTCAAAGATTGATATGTTTACTTCTGTTATAAGCGCCTACCAAAGTCTGTTTTAATACGTTCAAGTACGTTCGTGTGAGGTTGTAAATATCTTTATACACTTTGTCTATAATGGACGTAAAACGAACTGTAAAAACCTGTTGATAATATTTACTCCGTTATGTTTTAGAATACTTCATAACTTTCGAAATTCTGGTTTAGCTATGTAATCGCTAATGCTCTACTGATAGGTAGGAAAACTTCTGTCTAAAAATAAGGAATACTGATTGGCATATTTTATAACCGATCACAAATATTATTGCAAGCCTTTCTGTAAAGAAATACAAGATACTATTATTTGCTGATATCGGTAATATCTCGTTGTTAATTGAATCGAAATGGTTGACCTCTGTTAATACGCGACTTCCTATGTGAATACCCCAATACTCCTTCAATATTCATTGCAATAACTGACCTGGCGTTGGCTAGCTGGCATGCTTCATTCAGTTCAGGACTGGTCAACTGGATGTACCGGTACCCCAGCTATTGAAAACATTCGCACTGACACTGAAAACCACCATTTATCACTTCAAACACCTGAACATTATTAATTGGGCTAGTGAAGCATAAAAGCCAAATCTTGTGCAACAAGCATTAGTTACTATTATTGTTTGTTGATACTTTTTATTCCTCGTCATAATACTGGACATAATTGGTCGACCTCTGTTGGCATATGAGATCCTATGCGAATGCCTCGATATTATCTGAATGGTTACTGATAGAATTTACTTCCTGAATTCCACTGAAAACCACCACCAAGAAAGAATAAGTAGGATCATTTAGAAAACTTCGGTTTTATCAATTCAAGCAGTAACTTCAGAAGTATATATCGTAACTAAACCACTTTTTGACGGAGGAAAATAATTCGCGAAACTGTATACCTGTGGTATTTTGCAAGGTGGAAAAAAACACTCTATACAGAATGGCACTCAGTAAAACTCTGTATTAGTTTCTTTTTACTAGAAAAGAGTTAAGAAGTTTCTGATTTTGGTCTCATAGAGTTACAGTGAAACACTTAATGGGATATCTATATATGACCAATGGTCTCTGCTGGAGGGATGACAAATAAGGTTTTATTCTGGTAATAAACATTTTGACAAATGAACTTTTCGACGGATTTACATCTAACAGTTTCTTATTTGCGCAATTTTATTATTTTTAACCTACCACTACTGGTACCGATCACATTTTGTTGTAAATACACTCTTGACTAAATTCTAGTTAGGCATAATAGACATTTTGAACGAGGACACACACAGAAATCTCATGTCCCTCCGTTGAATAGCCGATGGATCACACCAATCATTCGAGGATAAAAGATGCTATCTGGATGACTTAATCTCAGAAGATGGGATGTGGTTTGAAGTTGTGATATCTTAGCTGATCGTCAGGTACTTAAACTAATAAAACATAGCCACACAAACACCGGGATGTAACTCAATATTCCATTGTTTATTTGATATATCACATAGAAGAACAGTAGTGCTTGCTAGATGTTGTTTCAGAAAAAAACTTCATTGTTCATATTCTTATCAGAGGTAACTGTACATCTTTCATATCCTGTTTTTATAGTTCTTGTCTTTCTCCTTCCTTTATCGCATGAGTAGTAAAATTTCACAAATATCCATAATATTGTGGAGTCATTCCCATTGCATGTATTAGATGCTGATTCGATTCAGATGAGGTCAGTTAGAATAAGAAAAAGCACAGAATCTTGTCCAAAACGAGATTAACACACTTCAGTAAGAAGAAGAATCTAGAGAAAAGCTCAGCTGTGGAAAGCATATGATCAAAAAAACACAACAGGATGGGATCCAGTGACAGTCCTTAAAGATAAATCAGCTGGATGGAGGAAGAACATTGATAACTGACGCTTTTTTATCATCAGATACATGGAATAGGACGGACACCACACCTGGTTAGGATGTTTGGAAAATTCTACTACCCATACGACATAGTAAGTACGGGAAAGAGAACTATAGAAAAGAGATGTGAAAAACACGGAGTTGTTTTCGATGTGCACATAAAACTTCATTTAGTGAATAATACCGTTTCACAATGTGACACATCAAATTAACAATTGTGTTGAAATATGCACTACTAAACTGAGCACGTTCTACTTTTACAGTGCCAAGAAGTACGTACAGTCTTTATCTTTACCTTGGACTTAATTTATCATGGTTTGTCCAGCTTATTTTGGTATTTTTTCAACTTCACGCTTTGTTAGAATAATATATATATATATGTATATATATATATACGTGTGTGTGTGTGCTGGATGCTGATTCGATTCAGATGAGGTCAGTTAGAATAAAAAAGCACAGAACCTTGTCCACAGCAAGAATATATATATATATATATATATATATATATAATTCTAAGAAAGCGTGAAATTGAAAAAATACAAAAATAAGTGGAACAAACCATGATAAATTAAGTCCAAGTTAAGGATAAAGACTGTGCGTACTTCTTTTGCACACATAGGTTACGCTGCACTTTATTAGTAGCCAAGAACTCCTCTGTCTTCAGAAGTTGAAGAGGTAGAAAACACTATATATTTGAGCGAATTCGACAGAAAACCATAAAATCATCTTTTGCTTCGGCTGAATGACTGGAATCGATTCAATGTTCAATGCTTTAACTTCTAAAGCATTTCATATATTTTCCAGGGACAATGCATCATATCACTATATCACTAACAGGTGTATGCAATTTCCCTAAAAAATCAGTCAGTTGAACTAGTTAATGCAGTTTTTTGACAGCTTTTGCATTTGAGTCTGTTATTTGAATTTGTCTTGTCTTTCATTCGCAATATTTTATTCATTAATCACTTGCAATCGATTTGGTTTCTGGCGTACCAAAATATGACTTTGGGACTGTTGGTGAGAAATTTTAACCAGAATTCAAAGGTTGGACAATGCGCGCCATTTATTCATCGTATTTTTTAACCACTATATTCTATTAATCTTTCAAAAATTGTTTTATTTAATGGCATCTAAATTTTCCAATTTAATCGTTATTTCAGGAGCTCATTGCGCTTGGTCTTGCGAATACGATTAGTTCATTCTTTCACACATTTCCAGCATGTTCTTCTTTATCTCGATCTGCTGTTCTAGTTTCTGCTGGTGGACGCACACAGGTCTCGAGTCTGTTTTCCTGCTTATTACTAATTCTGGTACTTTGTTTCATCGGTCCACTGTTTTATGCTGTACCTACTGTAAGTTGCACAAATCTTTTCAAACTGTTTCATTTATCATTGCCAGAACAGTAGTCTATATTTTAAAATGCATACGTATTTAAGGTGACCTTTGTAAGAAAACTAAATAACTGTTGACCTCACGACGAATATTGATTGTAAAGGATACTTTATAATCGAGAAACGCTGTTAGCTCATCCCCATTGTGGTTTAAGGAAGGTAATTATGTCAAATCATAACTTATTCTACCTTAAAATTTCATTGAGTCACGCTGAAATAGATTATTTGTAAGAGCGAAACCGTACTTTCTTTAGCTAACACAATACTTCATTGTCAATCTGAAATAGCAGAAGAAATTTGTAGCTCAGCATGAGGATGATAATTATTTGGTGTTCTCTAAGGTTTTAAATTTCTTTGGACGTTTCATTACTGGGCTTTTCTCATGAAGTAAGTCCTGACGTAGTCATCTAGCCTAGAACATGAACACACTTCAGAGTTCAAAAAACTTCAAAGAATGGAAAACATTGATTTGTTGAATCATTTTTCACTTACTTGTCGGCTGCTTGTTTATTCGCACCTAGATAAGGCCTATATTAACCCATTTGTTGCTTTCAGGATTTGAATCTACATTTTTTAGCACTTTCACGACGCGTCAAGTTTCTGAACCATATAGAGGCATTGACTTACTTGGTAATAGTGTTGGAAATCCAGATCTTGTTCACGCTTTATGCTGAGTGTAGTGCAGTGCAGTAGATCTTCACACTGATTTCAGATTAATGAAGGTCAGTCTTGCTTTTCCGATCCTGGCTTTGACATCCTCATCTGTGCCTGTACCGCCCGTCGTTGAAACGATGCTGCCTAGATAGGTTTCTCCCGTTTATAGTGCTTTTTGTTGTTGTTGGTTGGGTATCTTCATTAACTCTGTCTTCTCTACGTTCATCTGAATAAAACTCTGGCTTCCGTCAACTTGTCAGTTTTCGCCTGTAGATCTTTGAGCTTGTACGACATTAGACAAAAAGCCAAGGTGTAATCCAAATCTGCTCGGGTATTTTCATTGCCTAAACAACGTGTGCCCATCTTCTCACTCCTCACGGTTGCTGCATGATCCAATCCAGTTCAGTCGACTACAATCAGGAAAATCATCTATGATAGTAAGCAGCCTTGTCTTACCTCTGTCTTCACTTCAAAGGCGTCACTGGGCTTTCCATTGTCAATCACTTGGCATGTAATATCATATAGCATATAGCTGCTGTTGAATGAATTTGATAAAGGTTTGTGGCATTAAAACCGCAGTGCTGAAGCAACTGGCAGATCACTTCTCGGTTGACGCTGTCGAAGGCCTTTACAAAGTCGATGAAGTTGAGGTAAAGTAGAGAGTTGACTGTCATTCTATACTCTGTTCTCTGATGATGCGTAGCGTTGCAATTTAATGCACACATGATCTGTTCTTCCTGAAACCAGCCAGTCAGCCTGTTTCGGTTGTAATTTTGAATCCAGAGCATTTTTAAATGTCTCCAGTGGGATGCGTCATAATATTATGCTTGCAGTAGACATAAGCATGATTCCGTTCCAGTTTCTGCAAATAGTTAGGTCCTTGGAATTTTTACGAGGTAGCCCTTTTTCAAATCGGCAGGTACCCTTCCTTCCTTCTTTCAAACTATCTGTAATAGTGGTGAGAGTATGTCCACCGCCGATGTCTCTGTGTCTGTTTTCAATGCTTCTGGTGGAATTACATCTGGTCCTGCTGCTTCACGGCTTTCAGCAACTTTACGGAGTTCAGGACTTCACTCCTGCTTTTGTCGGAGGGCATGTGTTGACCGATAGTTCTGTAACTGGGCTGCTGGTGGTATTTCCGGACCAGTTGCAGGTGAAGGTGGTCGATTCATGAGTTTTTGAAGTGGTGAGCCCATCATTTCCTTTGTTTCTCCTCTTTGGTAACTACCTTTCCTTCACTATCTTTCATTGGTTTCATGTGATCTCTTTCCACATAGTAACCTGGTTATTTGCTATGATGTTTTCAGGTCTTTCCTACCAGCAGCCTGTTCTGCTTCACCCGCCAGTGTGTCGTAGAAGTGTCTTTTGTCTTTCTGTGCACTACTCTTGACTTCCTTATCCAGTGTTTTATGCTTTGGACTCATTTCCTCTTTTCGTTGTTCATCCCTACCCTGCACTGCACTGGTTCATCTTCTGCTTCACCATCTTCTTCCTGCTTCATCAGCTTCCATGTATCCGCCGAGATACATTCCTTATCTTGCTCCTTCTTCATTCCTAGTACGGTTATGCAGGTTTCCTTCCAAGTCGCTCTCAAAAAGTTCTAGTTTCGTTCCACACAGGTTCTTTCAGAGATGTTGCTTAGTGTCTGCCATTTTATCCTGATAGCTGATATGAAGATGTCTTTTGCGGTTTCATTCTTCAGTTTCTGTTCTGGGTGATAAACTTGAACTATGGTCTACCATCAACAGCTTCTTCAAAGGCTTTCAAGTTGACTTTGAAGTTAGGTTCCTTGCACTAGGTAGTGATTGGCGTGAACCTACATCTACTCCCCTTCTTGATCTGACCTTGTTTCCAGTAGGCTGCGTCTCTACTTTATTCACATTGAGATGAAGTCGATCTGATATTTAGTGTGTCCTGGTGTCTGGTGAAATCAACTCCATGTTCATGCCTTTTGAATATCCTTGTGTTTTTACACACTACCTCCAATCAACAAATCGTTGAATGCACAGAAGTTTGCAGACAGTTCTCCATTCTCACTCATCATTTCACCGACAGCTTATTGACCCATGATCAGTTCTCTCCCTATGCTGTCTGCTCCCATTTTGCTATTCATATCACCCCACACATTAGAATTTTGATATCGCCATCTGAGTGCGGTCTTGTCTAGTACTGACTACAGTTGTCTGTAGAATTCCCCCTTCTTCTCTTCATCTGCATTATTTGTAGGTGCGTAGCGTAGCACTGAATGATTGTCATCTTCCTTCCTTCCTTTTGAGTTGGACCTTGCTGTCATGATCCTGGAGGAGGAGATTGGTTCCAACTGCATGACAGCCTTCGATGCTGTTGAGAGGGGACATCATGATAGCCACTCCAAAACTGAGTGTGCTCGTGGTTGTCGTCTGGATGACAATATCGGAGTAGATTATTGACTCTCCAGTTGGTAGTTTGGGGAGTCCACTCCCATTCCATCTTCAGATTCCTCGCAGATTCACTGTGCGAACATTCCATATCCCCATCCTTACTTTGACTTTGATCGAGAGAAGACATATTGGGCAATTGGCTTCCGGAAGGCATTCACCAACTGGCGTCATTTCGTCTCCCCGATTCCAGCAAGTAATAATTTTACTTTTATTTTTTATATTTTCCTTGTGCTTTGGAATTTCTTTAGCGGTTAGATTTGTTTTCCGGTGTAGGGTTGCTAGCCCTATGCCCAACCTTCCCTCTTTATCTGAGCATAGGACCGGCTCGTGACTAGTGAATTAATTAACAAAGTATGAAAAAGTGCTAGACCACAAAAAAGAAATTTCATAGTTTTTTGGCTACTTTGATATGACTAGGGGAAGTGAATCATACTCGAAATGTCATCCGGTAAATAATACCATATTACTATGTGCCATGTGAAATAAAATAATATAATGGGAAATTATGCTCCACCAAAATGCCCACTTTAGCCCCTACAAGTCTAATGTTCTTGCAAACCCTTATATATCTAAAATGGAAAGGAGTGACATTTAGTCACTACCTGTTTATACAATGGGGAGCAAACTACACAGTGTTAATTTTTTAGTTTTTAGATAAAAAATTATTTGTTATCTGATCTACGGAAACAATTAAGATTTTCATTATTATTTTTTGATCATTCCCCGAACTGTTTCTGTCTGTATTTTTTTCTCTTCCATGTTCATGTTTCTTTCATCCTCAAGTGTTGTCTATCTGCAATCATTTTAGTTGCACTTAAAGGAATGTTTTTAGAGGCTAAAGATTTCACAACGTTTTGGAAATTTTCTGTCTGGGACAGTGTAAGTTGTAGTTTTGCTTATCTACGTGTCTGATTCATTGCATGTTAGTGATTTTTTTCAGTATGAACAGAATTTTATTTACTAATAAATATGATCAAATACTAAGAATTATTACTGAGTATATCTTTGTATATAGATCTGAAGAGGTATTGCTAAGTAATTAAATTTCATCATTTAACCAGTAATCTTCTAAGAGTATGTGCAGTCCCTTAATATAAACAGCGTGTCATGAACTATACAAACTTCGTCTCAAGAAATCATCTGTAAGCATAAAATAACATGCTCAGGTTTTGTGATGCAAAATAATAAAATCATAAGTGTCATTTATATCCATATAGCTATCTAAGATGCTGTGCACTAATTCCATGAGTAAATATCAACCAATCAATTCATTCAACAAACGAACGCTCAAAGTGAAGGTTATTTTGTATATGGCATGTCAGTTATCAGATTCCACTATTGATTACATTCTTTGTAACCTATTCACTCTACTTGCTTGATGTGCTCATTATATAATAGTGACCATTTTCGAGGCAAACTAAATTACTACAAATTACAAATTTACAGCTTCTTCTCACCCTATTGAACTAACCTGAGCTTTGTAATTCATCAAACATAGTGACCACATTATTTTTCCATCACATTTGCATTTTCAAGGAAGGCGGAAGGATTTAACAACCTTCATTCTTTCAATTTACCTTCAAGGAACGAATACTTTTAGTGTTACTTGATAGGATCTTATAAGAACACTTCGTCCTGCATCACACACATTTGACAAATGGTTCCACATTCTAGCACATACTGATTTCCTCACGTTTATCAAATGCTACAACGTTTTACTTAAAACATAAATTCTGTCTCTGATCAGTCTCAGACGATACAAGCTGTAATTTTCATAATACCTGAAAGTTGTACATATGTCTGAAGATTGTATAAAAGTTGATGTGAAACAGCCGATCTCAGTTCATCTGCAATAAGTACATATTAATTAGTGTATTAAAAATTACTTACTGCTCTTCGTCCTTATTTCTAAACCAGTTGAACAGGCCAGCTTTGTCTGTTGGCCATCAATCTGAGTACAGTAACTTTAGTTTTCATCTAGACAAAGCAATTAGGTGATAGGATTACTTAAACATCAATTTTGTCTTTGTAAGCACGAATTGTGTTTACCTCCTAGACGAAATATATGCCTAAGTGGTCGAGAAATGTGTTCCATACAGCTTTGAAATAAATAAGTTATCATCAGAATAGCTGTAAGCAAAACCTTCAAGTGTCTGAAGAAAAAACGACTCCCTAAAAGGGTTCGTTTCTGTTAGCCAAAAAATAATGAAAAGTTATAAACTATAATTCATTTCTTCCGAAAGTATTATAATAATATACTTACACCTTACTTAACCAATAAACATCTGTTCAACCCTAACAAACAGCTAAGCTATTCTCAAAGATTAGGATGATATTTATTGGAAAAAAAGAAACTTTTTCTCTGTAATGTTCAGTTAGTATAAGTGGTTACCGCATCAAAATGTAGTAATGCACAACTCGTTTATTTAGAATATGTGCTGTGTAAGCTAAAATACTACAACATTTCAAACAAATTATTCATATACGTGTTAATGTTTAAACTTGAATTTCAGTTAGTTTGGTTGTTAACACTTCTGTGCACTGTGTTATTGAGTGTAAATTATGGTCTTCTACTGGGTGTTATAATCTCAGCTGTATCCATCATACTAAGAACACAATGGCCTAAAATTCGAACACTTGGACAAACTCAAAGTACAGAAATCTATCAGGACTGTAATCATTATAAAAATGTAAGTTAACATCGTTAAGTAATGATTTCTACTGATAAATACTAACAGTAACTAGTTTCGTCTTTTTGTGGTGTCATATTTTAGTGAAGTTGAATTTATTTTCACTACTTCATTGTGATTCAACTGTTCGACTATCAGCCAGTAGGTTGGCGGTCATTACTTGCTTTAAGAGGTATTGTCAGAAGCCACTAGGTAAATCAATGTGCTGCGTACTCAGACTCATAAGGTAGTGTATGTTTACATACATACATACTTGCTTCTATAGCATCATTATGAATAATTTATGTGGTAATGGAACAACCTAACGGCCATGGTTGATACACTGAGTTATAAGTGAATTATGGATAAATCAGATAAAAAAATCTGTTTTTGTCTGCAATACAGTATTATTCCCTTCAAGGTGTAAAAGAAAATCTGGATAATTATTAATGTTCCGTAGATAGTTTGCTAAAGAACCAAACTAGTATTCCAACTTTATACGGTAAACAAACCATTATCTAATGATATTAGGTATAGAATGTATTTGCGTAAGTCACAGTGAGTTTGAAGCCAGACAATTCCAACCATTCACAAGAAAGTCTGGTTCGGGCTTCTTCAGGGAAATAATCAAAAGAATCTTGATCATAGTTTATATAAATGACTATTACCTAATGACATAGACCTGAAGCAAGATGACACCTAAATAGTCTCACCCCTCTTTTTATAACCTGCAATTAGAAATGAATCATTTTGTCATATAACACAATAGCCCTTCATTGTGTTCATTCTCTCTCATACTCACGACTGACTGATTTCATACTTTTTACCTAAACGTTATAATGAAAAACACGATTATTATTATATTATTATTAGTTCCTTGGGTTCCTAGTGGAACATAGGGCTTCAGTAGCACGCCTCCAGTGACCTCTGTTCTCTGAGATCTTTTGAACCTGGCTCCGCGACAGCCCAGAAGCTCTCATTTCCTCCTCGCACGACCTCCTCCATGTCACCCTTGGACGTCCAACTCGTCGCTTCCCATGGGGATTCCACTCGAGCAACTGGCCTGACGCGTGATGTCCTCAGTCGGCCTTCTCAGTGCATGCTCAATCCATCTCCACTTCCTCCTGCATATTTGTTGCGTGATAGGTTCTTGGTTGGTTCGTTCCCAGAGCTCCTTGTTGCTTATTCTTTCTGGCCATCTGATCTTCAGTAACGAGCGTAAGCAGTTGTTGGTGGATGTCTGTAGTTTATTGGAAATGCCTTTCGTGACGCGCCAAGTCTCTGAGCCATACAAGAGCACTGACTTGACTGAAGTTGGTGTTGAAAATCCGTATCTTGTTCCGCATGCTGAGTGCAGAAGATCTCCACACTGGTTTCAGGCTAATGAACGCCTGTCTTGCTTTTCCGATTCTGACTTTGACGTCCTCGTCCGTCCCGCCTGTAGTTGAAACAGTGCTTCCTAGATAAGTGAAGGAGGTTACTTCCTTCAAGTTTCTCCCGTTGACGGTGATTGGAGTTTGTTGTTGTTGGTGGTGGTGCGGTATCTTCATCACCTCTGTCTTCTCTATATTCACTTGTAGTCCCGTCTTCGCTTCCCTGCCTCCTCTGTCAACTTGTTAGTTTTTGCCTGCAGATCTTCAAGTTTATGTGACATCAGGCACAAGTCATCGGCGAAATCCAAATCTCCAAGGTTCTTTTCCAGAGTCCAGTGTATCCTCCTCTTCTCGCTGCCTACTGTTTGCTGCATGATCCAGTCCACCACAATCAGGAATATCATGGGTGATAGTAGGTGGCAACCTTGTTTCACTCCTGTCTCCACTTCACTTCAAAAGCATCACTGAGCTTCCCATTGTGAATTAATTGGCATGTGGCTTCTTCGTATAGTTGTTGAATGAGGCGGATAAAGGTTTGCGGTACTCCGTAGTATTGAAACACGATATAACTCGGACATTCCGAACTAAATCTGCTGAAAAACAATTGAAAACCACCACTCCTAAACAAATAATGAAGCAGAATAATTTCATTTATGTCGATTCGGTTGATGAACATCTCACCCAGTGTAACAGTATTATATACTGGATGATATTTCAAACCAAATTTATTCGTTATATTCAAATCAAAAATAACTTCATAAATTTCACATCTTGTTCTTAAATTTCTCTCTCCTTCCTTTGTTGTACGGTAGTAAACGTTTGTAAATACTCTGAGTCTTTCTTACTGCATGCATTTCATCGTGATTCAGTAAGCAATGCTTCAGTTAGCAACCTCTTCCTCTACCCTAATATGTTGGCTCTAAGGACTGTAACATCATCCCATCCTATTGTGTTATTATATCTGACTGTGCGTATTGCCGTGACTGGCCTTTTCTCCAGGTTTGTTACCTTGTCAAAGACTGTCGTGCTAGACTTAGTGAAGTTTCAGTACTGTTATTCTAACTGTACGGATATGACTTACTTGTCCTCCATACTACATATTGAAATTAACAGGACAAATAATTTTGTCTTGTGAGGTTTTAAGGATGCGTTAGCCTACGAAGATTGTTTGTTAGCAACCTGTTGGGACTAAACACCACTGTTACCCTAAACCCTTTTAAAGATGCTACGTTAACTTTGGGACATTTCTTCCTTGTAGGCTGAGAATAAGGTTTTGAATTCTCGTTTCTTAAGGTCACCACTACTATACATTTTCTGTGTTTGTGTTACTGTCACTTTTAAAATTTCTTATCTACCTCAAAATCACTTTACAAGGGTAACTACTGAGTCACAAGGCTTCTTTTATGTTTAATTTCCCTTTTCTAAAGTTGCTTACTGTTTAAACATTCCATCTCATTATTTAAGCCTTTTACTAAATTTACTCAAACTGATAAAGGATGAGGTGACAAAAAGTCATGGAGTATCAGTTCGAATATGTAGGTTTTATGTAAACGCTAGCGCTCTAGCAACCATTTTACCTGCTTTTTACTCTGCAATCCAACTCAGCTAGTTTTTCTTCATCACTCTATAATTTATATGGACTGCATCTACAACTGATATGAGCAGAAAACTTTAATTTCTATGCCGTAACCTTAACAAGGTGAACGTGTCATCTACATATCTTCAGCTTATATTAAAAGTGATGCAATATAATCTGAAAATTGTTCCCAAATGTTAAGTAATATATTTCCCAAGAGTATTGGTGACTGAAGAGGAAATCATCTCATTTGTTTGTATACTTTTTTTGAGACTTAATGACGTTAAACGTTAGGCATTCACATCCTTCCAGCAATATTTCTTCAATTGGTGGCTTGATTGTTACTGTTAAGCTCATTCCTAAATGAATCCAGAAGGGGTATTAACTGACATTAATAACATCAACTTTGTTCATGCAAAAAGAATGAGTTAACACCTATTCAGAATATCTGGAAAATTCTACTACATATACTGAAAATGTTGTTCAATTAGCTGTGATATAACCGTGAACAATAAAGCGTGTTGTAAACGTCACTGAATAAAAATTATTTCCACTGTATGAAGTGTTCATCTAACAAATTAACTTAAAGTTATTCATTAACAGAAAGGCTTAGGACCTACCCCTTCAAGTAAGTCTTTAAACGTAAACATTTCCAGATATTTTCCAATAACATTCAATGATGTACAAAATTTGATGTTGAATAATAGTTCTATCAACTGAGCTACGAGACCCGACTGCTGATCAGACTTTTGTTTCACTTCATTCACTAAGAGTTTTACCTGACTGTCATATGGATGCGTAACGCGTTACTACCGCTTGATCATACTCACACTGGTTGCCCAATCAGGACTTCTCATCCCAATACATGTCTACGTAAATTAGAGAGGAAAATCATCATATTGATTATCATTTTGGCTATCTGAGATAGCCACGGTTTGGCAGACAAGTATTGGATGATGATTGAAGGTGAAATGAAAATTTTGGTCACGTCAGGATTCCAGTTACATATTTACGGATAGATATTTCATATACAGTATTTCATAACTGTTGGTTAATCTGTTTGTTTAATACGGTGTTCAATACGATTGACAGCTGTGCTGAGTCAACTTTGTTTCATGTGCTTGAGATGACATGTATTAATGTCGCCTCTGTTATTAATCTTTCTTTCCATTTGTTTTTGTTGGACTTTAGTATGCTAGTATTGTTCCATTTGCATGAACTGATATCAGTGAACTTTACTCCAAATTTTTGTAATTTGGTCCCTCTGTGGGCTTACCTTTAATTAATCTTTGATGTTCATTCAGCCTAGTTTTTAGCGATCATGATGCTTATCCTACCTTGTCAGTAGATTTTTTTCCCAGACAGCTTCTCATCACAACTCTACATTGGTATCCAGGTTGCTTAACAATTTTTCATAAGGTTATGTAGAGAGTTGAAGAAAATAAATGAGGAGACCACGAACAAGCACAAAAATTGGAATTATAGTCTAACAGTATCAATATTAAAAATTGCAAAACTTTATAAACCAAAGCATTTTTTGGTATTAATGATGAATAGCGGTTAGCAGTGAAATCCGTGGCTCACGTTTCGTTTTATTTGGGACTCTTCGTCTGCATGTACTCGCATTTCAGTGAATGTTGTTCCCACTAAGACTCAAACCCAAGACCAGCCGCTTCCAATGCCAGAACGCTATCAACTAGGTCACTTGCTCGTGAAGGCCACTTCTTGAACAATGGCCATAGTATTGTCTTTGATGTAACAACTTGTAAATCTCCGTCGTCAAATGAATCATTCTACCAATAGTGTCTGATCAGTTCGATCCAATTAACGACGGAGATTCAGAAACTATAACATTAAAGCAGTTTTGTTTCCTAATGCATAGTGAGCATGAATCGAAAGTAACAGGTTTCTAAGACAATAACCAGCCCTAATGTTGTAGCTGCTGGTTACTTAAAATCAATAATAATAGGCGAAGAGAAGAGTAATCCGAATGACAGAGGTACCATCTATCAATAATTTATGCATATTGCCTTAGACCGAGTGAAAGGATAAGATAGGGATAGAGGTTATATGAACCTCTGCCGGTTGGATACAACCATTCAACTTATTGCGTACAAGGTAAACTAATTTACCACGCATAAGGTTAGCTTGTATTAAAATCGGCAACGTCCAAGATCATGTTAACATCGATTCCAGACACATTGATCTAGTCATTGATTTGTAGACAGAGAAAGGATGATGCCTAGACATATGAACCAAATCAAAAAAATTCTACTTCATCCCGCTGTCCAAAAACTCCGCATTTGTTATCTCCAGTGAGATTTCAAAATATACCCAAATGTAGCCAGCAATATAAGTTCACTGTTACGTCTGTAATAATAAATGCCACATTTCACCGCCTTCATTACCAAGTAACACACAGCACGTTTGTGGAGCTGCATTTAATTTGGGGAAGATGGCTATGAGCTGTTTAGCTACAGGTTGCATCCCACTGTATTTTAGGATACCTAAAATGCATTACTATTTGGTCATATTCTAAATAGGTTAGCCTTCTAATGTCTGACTCTTTCACCAGCGCTTATACAAAAGAACTAAAGAAGTTATTTGGTTATGAGTAAAAAAAGAATGAAACCTGAATCCAGGATATCTTTCTGACTAACTTTAAACAATAAAACCCCAGAAGATGTTATTCTATTAGTATTAGTCGTCCTGAGTATTTATAGCGATTGACTCAATTTGCAAAAGTTAATGTCACAGCCATAAATCTCAAAACTTGTCTATCATTAATTTACTTATATATCGTACTCAAAATGCAGAAATTCATTAAATAATAAAGTAATAGACGAAATTTCATTCAGTTAGTCCAAAGTAATATGTTTAAAATAAAAGAAGAACAAACGCCCTGTTCCAAACAATATGTATGATGCAGTATGGGACTTTCAACGAAGTCACTCCCGGAACAATATTTTCAGAAGAAATGGTTATTGCATCTGAATGATGTTAATAATAACAGTATTCAAGGCAATAAAATGAAACAGCTAGCTGGTTTTCGATTAGCATCCGGTCCATCATAAAGAATCATCAAAAACTGGGGTGTAAGTTTGGTGGTAGCTATTCATCCACCAAGCATAAGAGTCTGTAACTCGAGCCAAGTAACGGAAAGATAAAATTATGGTGCACTTTTGCGTACTGAAACGTCCACCTCCATGTAACGTGGAATTTTTCCTTTGTTTTGTTATCGTTACGAGAAACAGAGATTCGAAAAAAGGTTTTCGATGTCCACCAGTAAATAACACGTTCATAGGACATATTTAAATTATGAAAACAAATTGAAAGGAAAAAGTTTGATATCTACGTTCAGTGGAAAATTTTGGTAGCCCAAGCAGACCGCATAAGCAGAAAAACAACTGTAGCGAACTATAAATGAAAATGGGAATGGCAGTAAATAAATAAACAGATAATGATTATGGATATAATAATTAAATTGGTGAAAAGACTACATATTAATCAAGATATCTGGGATCAGTTTTCAGAAAAAAGACGATAAGATAGACGGTAGTATTAATGAACTGCCTGATGTAAAAAAATATTGTAGGTTATAATAAAATTATAAAGTGACTACTCTATTTATTTTCAAAGTAAGAGTCTACATTTGGGAATCATAAAATCAACTATATATATATATATATATATATATATATATATATATATATATATATATATATATATATATATATATATATACGTTATGAACGTATCCTGAACAACGATGGACTGGATTTTTTGAAATGACATGGGCACTAAGTTAGTGTTATCCTGGCACCGTACATTAGAACAAATAACAAAATATTTGCATGTCTTGTTATTTACTTCAATTTACTACGCCGGCATTGCACAAATAAACTTCATCTAATATGCGATGAATATATATGTTCTCTTAAACATCGCTGTTGTGAAATAACGCATGGCAGAAGTTAACAGGATTCAGCTTAAATGAAAGTCTGCGGTTATTTTAATGACTACCTAAATGCTGTAGGTACCACAGAGCATTTGTTCTAAAGTAACTTTTCTCCATTTGTGATATAGCTTAGTTCAAAACTTTCATATAGAAATAAAACTTCCTAGTAATTTCCTTTTGTTCATACAGTTTACAAGTGTAGCAACCACAGGTTTATGATACAAAATAATAGTGTACAAGAACTTATTTTGTGACATTCATTTATCTGAGCATCCTGTTTGCACCAGTACCCCAGTAACACCCATCGATCACAAAAACCTTAACTGAATTGAGTTCATTTTCACCTTTCACCGCAGCACTACAATATCTGATTTGTATCATTTTTGTGTGTGGGATAAGCAATATTTATCACTATGAAGGATATGATCTTACTCATTGTGTATTCGTAATTTTTGTCTTACTTTTTACTCTAGTGTATACAACATGACAAAATTAAAATCATTCGTTATGAGGGAAACCTATACTATGTTTGTGCTGAGCATTTTCGCGAAGCAGTCTACTTGCAAGCAGGAGTTAATCCCGTTGAATTCCATTCCAGAGTCATTAAATGTTTAAATAAGATACAAAGTATTGAGGAAACTCTTCGATGTGATGTGTCTCAAACTGCTGACACCGAAACTCATCCGTCGGGTATGCATTTAAATTCTTCCAATAAAGTGCAAAGATCTGATGAAGGCTCTGATGACCTTGAAATACGTAAGTTTGCTTTATGTTTTGTTTGGCTGAGATATACCAGTTTCCTATTTCCTAAGATTATAAGCATATTTACAATCCAAAATTAACTGCTGCTATCCGCTACTGTTCAAGTAAGTGAAAACTATGAGGAATTCGTAAGAAGTATCCAAAACTACTGACGAACATTAGACTCCCAATTAGTCATAAAAGAATACACCAAAGATTATTTAAACACTTCTTCCCATTTTGAAAATTTGAACGAAACAAGAAGAACATTAGTCTCACGATTAGCATGAATGTGTTTCGTGGGTTCTACTTAGCTGCTACACAACCTATACAATATATTTATGGACGAAAAAAGAAATTCATACGACAAAGTTTCACAAGCTGACAGGAATGTGTTGGCCAGGGGCTAAGATATCAAGGTTGGAAGCTGATCGAAATCGATAAAAATTTATGTTGCTGAGACTATTCAGCGGCTAATTACTTCTGCAGTTATAGAATGCACATTCCGGAGAATATATTATCAGTAAATTTTTAATGATATTCTGACACAATGGTCATTGTTTCGCCTTAATAATATTTAGAGCAAAATAACTCTCCATCGTCACACTAACGGTTGGAATTCTTATTCACCCATTTACTAATGAGCCGTAACTTAAAAATCTTTCAGAATGAGTTGGTTCTCGGTATATCTTAATTTTTAGATTGCCGTCTATTTTTCTTCTGATTTTTCAGTTCAACATTGGTATTTCTCAGTCCAGTTTCTGTCTCCATGATGAATCTTTTTGAGTCTACTCGAATGTTTATGCATGCATGGAATCTTTCTGTATTCTTTACACTTATTATTACTATCCTATCATCAATATGTCTACAACAGATTTTAACTGAGTATCTTAATAGTTGCAGAGTAGAAATTAAGACCGAGTAGTAAACACCGTTATTCTCAAATTTATAGAAATGATTTAAGGATTAACCAACCATAACAAAATGTTAACAAACTTTCATTACACTGCGTAATAGTAAGCTGAACACAAATAGTCAGAGTAGATTCTGAGATAGATAGAAAGGTAAGAAGAAAAGATGAAGAGTCATAGGATCATGAAATATTTTAAATACAAATTCATTACTTTACATAGTTAAAAGACAGGCAATATCGAGGCATCCGTACAGGAGCCCATATGACAACAGAGACTGACTAATTCGATACAGTCAACGACGGTGTAATACAAGCAATAACGCCAAACCTATATCCGTAGCACAAGAAGTGGCTATCGTGGCTCGGTGGTGTAGTGGATAACGCTCTGGCGTTTGAAGCGATCGCTCCCGAGTCCGAATCCCGGTGGGAACAACATCACTCACTGGGAAGCAGGTACATCTAGCTGACAAGTCCCAAATGGGACGAAATGCACATCATGGATTCCACTTCCCGTCATTTCTTTACAAAGTAAAGTAAGATTGATAACTTTCCCTTTATTGAATATAAGGGTAGAGTTTAAGTTTTTTATAGCACTTGTTTAAATACAGTTTAAATGTAACTGATAAGGCTGATACCGAGAAGAAAAGAAAAATTGCTGTAAATGTAAGCTTTATGGGTAGTGATTATTGTGGGACTGAAAGGAAATTTAGCTTCACTTTACTGATTCCGAAAAACCCTGCAGTTGCATCTCATTGTCGTTCAAACTAACTTTATTCAGAAAAAATACTTTATTAACTGGAGGGCGTCACTGACTTTACAAGTAAAAAATGTCATTTATTTTATCATTTACTGAACAATAACTATGAAGAAAAGTACATAGGTTACACCAGCTAATCAAAATTAGTTATGACCACACAGCATCCAAAACTGTTAATTCTGCAATGATTGACTGCATGATGATATGCACGGATATGCTGTCACTCAGTAAGATGAGACAGAATAGGAATTCGGAACATCAAAGTAAGCATTTTGACTCAAAGTTTCAATACTGAAAACTGGTTCATTGAGTAAGCGAAGTAAACTGCTCCAATGAAAGGCCCAACACTAATTCCAGACATCTAAAATAATTTATCAATATTTAATCAAGGAATGAGTTGCATACAAACAGCAAGCGAAAAATCGAGAAGCTGTTTGATTGGCTTAATAAGATTATGACCTATAGTTTGTTCTAGGAAGTGATGATTTATAATGATGAGCGATATGAGATAACGAAACCTAGTAGGTAGAGATATTAGTTATATTTTCGGTGAATAATACATTTGATTCATAAAACATTCACATATGTATCGTTAGTTTTTCATTGAGATATAACTCCACTTTGAGTACTTCAATGTTAATGCAAGCTGATATCGTTTTACTTCGATGCACTATTCAAATGGCTGTGACTATTGTGATGGAATTATAATTTTAACGGTACCAGGAATCTCATTTCCAGAAAAACTTATATTCCCTAGCACTCGCTACAGTTGAAAGAATCATCATCAATATTAACACAGGACCAGGCATTACTGCGTAACGGTCCGAGTTGCCACAGTTCATACCAGTACATCAAGTAGGAAGGTAGTGAGGTGAAAAATGAAGATAAGAAAACTCAGCCAAAAGAAATATAAAGTACGAGAAGAAAGAAAGGAAGAACGACAAAAGGGTGAGAATCGATATAGTGTTAAGATAAGGATAATGTATGTATACATCTGCGACACTGTCATCCGTTCCAAGCCATATCCCCTAGAGTCTCCAGACACTGGTTTATCTTGTCCCGCGAACCCAGTTGGAAGAATACATCGAAATGAATTGCTGGATTGAGCGACTGAGCATGTGATATGTGGTGTTTTTTGTGTGTTATAATGAAAATAATCTAACCAATAAAGATTCCAGATATCTTTTTAACATATATGGATATTCTACATAGCTTTTAAACACAATAAACTCAACTTTAGAGAATAACTAGAGGTATTACGAATGTTTCTATGTTCAAGAAAAGAAAATAGTAATCGAAAAATGTCATAATGCGCGTAAACTGCACCGTTCTTTCATTTCTCTTGAGCCACTGGCTAGGATCCTGAGAAATCTTGAAATTATCATCATTCACATAGATAATAATTAAGTTTTATTCACTAAAATATGTTTTAAGTTCGATGGCATGGATGATGGCTAAAATATATGGAATATAGGAAGTTCGTTTTGACTGATGTAAGGTGGCTGGAGAAGGCTAAATGGGATTCTCTGAGACTTGGTTGAATGCTTATTGGCGCTCAACAGATAGGCAACCTTGAGGGAATTAACGTACTCTTCAAACTATAAGAAGAGATCACTACCAACAACCAAGAAGCCTAGGTCAAGCAGAGGTTTCTTCCGGTTGTCTTTAGCCATTTAACATCAGTCACTGTGCACCCTGATGTTGCGTCTCCTAGCCTGATGACTTTATTACAAAATGATAAGTAGGAATTAGTCAACGCTAAGGACAGTATGACATGAAAGTGGTCGCTTTCTAGTAACTAACCAAAGTATCCAATCTGGTCCTACAGAAAGTCACTAGCAGCTCAAATAGTTCAGTAGTGATTTCGCTCAATGCAACACTGGATGGCGCACATTTTAAACTTAAAGCGGATATTCCTTCCTTCAATGATGCGCAGACATCTTGCTGATAAGTCTAAGCAAGCAACAAATTTAGATCCAAGAATTCCCAGTAATTAACTCCGAGCATATGACATCTGTAAAGATATTTTCATCTGATTTTCTTAGTGGAAGTACAATCGTAAGTTTGCACAGAGCTGACTGAAATAAGAAAACATTTCGTTGCACACAATGTGTGTTAAAAACTGCATTTGAATGAATCAATGTTTGATTATTTTGCAAAAGACCTCTGCTACGAAAATTTTTTGTAACTTTCGGTTGCAATATCAGCAAGAGAAGCAATACGAAATCTCTTTAAGTATTGGTTCTTTACTAAAAGCCATCACTATCTCAGGTTGAATCTTTGTTTCACCCGACTGCCAGGTTATTTTAGTTGTTTGACAGTGATTCGGGCTGAACGACTCACAGGATAATTATCAAAAGATTTGCAGCATACATACTCACATAGGAGATACCCATTATGTGCTTATTTCTACATCAACAAATTATTTTACTGATAAAAAGGACCCAACTTTCTGTCCCACTGAATAATCCCACATACATATATGCATGTATACAAATGTACATCTACATAAAAACTAGGTTAAGGGTATGATTAGTGACCGAAAACCGATTGTTTAAATTATGTCCTAACCCAGGTTCAGCTTCATTTTATATGACGCTAAAGACCCAAATATAACGAAACAGACCAGCGATTTGCATATATATATATATATATATATATATATATATATATATATATATATATAAATTTTTTTAATCGGTAGAAAATATACTAGGCATATCACACTACTTAGAATTGGGGTATTTATTATTATGGTTTACAGAGACTGATATTTCTGAATTTATGAAGACTACCATGAATTGTTAGTGAACACGAAATCAAGATTTTATCAAATCAATGTTTTTTTCATTCCACTTACGTTATCTGTATATCTGGTAGCGAATGCTATGCAATAAATTGAAATACTAAGATTTAGAATCCGACTTTATCAATTTATCATGTTGGCTAGTCCTGTGTACTGATTTCAGTTAAATCTTTGGTAGCATCCAGCAGGAAACTGAAATTCATGATGGGAAATAACTTCCCATAAAGTTGCAGATACCTAGGGATCCTTACCAGTATATTAAACTCTTAACAATGGTCAGATAAGTAAATTTCGCTATTAGCTAGTATTCGTTTTAACTGGTCTCCGTAGCATAACAGGACCTCAAATAATGAATGTTTTCCTTGTTTTACTTTCATCGAGTGACTACATCTGTCCAGCTTCATAATTAAACAAAAGTGTTAACTATTAGCTGCTAATAAAAGAGGTACCCAATAAAATCATTCTCGTACTTAACATACTTCCAACAAACTAAATGGTGAAACTCGACATTCTTTAGTTCAATTAGTTCTTTGTAAGTGTACAAATATATGATAGTGGTCACTTAGTAGATTAGAATAATCCCTTCAAGGTTATTCCTCATACACCACCTAACCTTTCGAAAGGCATTCGAACTCGTCTTTTACGCATAAAAGAGACTGGAAATTTGAGCTACTAATCCCACTCTCTGTATCCAGAAAAAAAAATTCCATCTCTTATATTTCCTATGGTCAAGGAATACTCAGTAAACAATTAATCATTGAAATTTTCCTATCCTTTTTTTATTTTACACTTTTTTCATATACTTACTATATTTCTCTAGACTGTGTTTATCCAACACACTGTGGTATGGATTATTGTATTATAATGAGTGATGATTGAAGGTGAAATGAAAATTTGGTCAGCGGCCGGATTCGAACCAGTGACCACCGGTTTTCTGCCCGGTGCTCTACTCTCGGGTCAATCAGCAGAGCAGCAGGCCTGGAACCCAGTGGTCATCGGTTCGAATCCGGCCACGGTCCAAACTTCCATTTCACCTTCAATCATCCCTTAGTATAAATACTAGTCTTCCAGACTACCGCTATTTCAGGTAGTCAAAATGATAATGCATCATATGTAAATTTTTATTAAAACCTTATATACAACGATGAGTTTTTATTTTGGCAATATGTTAAGCAAAATTACTTCCCGTGATCATACAAACAGCTGAGATTTTTTTAACAGTATTTATTCGTTTATCCAATTACTTTGTCCTTTAGTATCAAGCAACTTTTGTTTTCCCAAGCTTTTGACCCACTTTGATCATCAAATTGTCCACATTTTCATGCTATTTTCTTGGTTCTTGTCGTCATTGTTTGTATTACAACTGCCTTAGTCAACACTGTCAACGTTATCATTATTATTATATTATTATCATATTGTTATTTAAAAACGCCTATCATATTAACTGACAAACTTTCATGATTACTTAAATTCTGATAAATATGCAGCTATTTATATTAGAGTGAAAGCCTGAGGAGGAACTAACTGAAAACAATACTGTTCATATCAATTCATTAGCTGCTTCACAAGGCGCTGGTCACTTGCTTAAAAGAATGGCTGATAAGAATGCTAAGTGGCTAATCTACATAAAATGGCCTTTTTTTCATAAAAGTCAATGAAACACATACTTGTAAGCTTCATTCCTCCTACTAACACATGTGGAACCCTATCTGCACATTAGATTTGTATGCTAAACTTGGAAACTGATTTCCTTGAATGTAATTTATTGGTTTACGAGCGATTTATTTTGCTTATTTCTTCATAGTTTAGTGAAATACTAAATCAGTTAGGACTGTGTCAAAGAATTTGAATTCTGAAGAAATTTTAGGACAAGCTATAATTGATTTAAATATATCTGCAGTATCCCATCCATATATATTTCAAGTAAGATATCTCACAATGTCATTTATTATGTTTTCTGCCTATTTTAACAACTGTATCCATGTTCTTTCTTATTTAAAAAAAAAATTTTCAGCAGTTTCGGGAAAAGCTCGAAATGTGAACTCTGAAGGGTACAAAACACAAGATCATCATAGTCAATTAACCGGTGGGAAAAATCTTCTTCATCGTTTCCTGAAGAAAAAATCATTAACTTTAGAAGAAAAGATGAAACTAGAAGCTAAGAAGTACAAACAAATAGAAAAATTGAAATTGATCAATCAATCTTTAACACTAAAATTTTTAATAGTCGATTGTTCATGCTGGACATTTATGGATATTGTCGGTGCAGATGAATTAAAGCAGGTAGGTTTGAATTTATTACATTCATTCTTAAAGTTCCTCCATGTGCTCATTAAATACATATGCATATTGTATTGAGAAGTTAATGAATAATAGTGGCAGGAAATGCATCTATTTGATTATACAGGAAGTTCAATGTGTATATGTATATTTAACTGAAACCAGAACCACCGTTTTGTGTCATAGAACATTTCATGACTGCTGTGGCTTTTTATAAAATGTGTGCAACAATTTTCATAGTTATTACACGCAAAAAACTGAAAATTTACACCAAAAAATAGCATATACTAGTCTGCCAAAATACGGCAACCTTAGCTAGTAAAACGATAATCAATATGATGCTTTCCCTCCCAGATTCAGTAAGATTTGGATTGGGATGAGAAGTCCTGACCTCACATTGTAGTCGGGCAAAACCCTTGGTGATTGAAGTGAAATAAAATGCTGGTCAGCAATCGGACCTTGCAGCTCAGTTGGTAGAACACCAGTCCGCTAACCCGGTGTTCGCTGGTTCGAGTCCGGTCGTGGTCCAGATTCTCATTTCACCTTCAATCACCACCCATTACAAATACTAGTCTGCCAGACTACGGTTATCTCAGTTATTCAAATGATAAAGTGAGAGTTGTTCACAATTTCATCCCTAATAATGTTGTCGTGGTCCGAAAATTTTAGCGATAACCTCAATGACCATAACCTTAGGAGACACGGGTTAGAATTTCAGGCGGAACCTCAGTCCTGTCAGGGTTGCAGTTACTTCCTGCTGACGAGTGGCAACAAGCATAAAACCTAGGTTCAGGTTTTCCTGCCGATTGTCCCCATCCAACTAACATCTGTCAAACTGTAGTCGATGCTCAACTGCCTAGTCAGGTGGCCACATTGCAGAATGATCGAATTCTATCGATCATTCTGCATTTATGACTAGACAACATGAAGTTGGTCATCTTCCAGTGCCTAATCAATGTTTTCTTTCATAAGTCATAATAAACCACCTCATGTACCTAGAAACATAATACAGAGTTTATGTAGTGAACAAACCGTTGTTGATTTCTGAACTCATAATAAAACATTCAATCAAGCTGTAAAGCTTTTCATAACGTTTAGTTGCTAATTTTGTCCTAAATGGATTGTTTATCTCACAAGTAAAGCTTTTGGTTAAGATCATAATTTTAACGGCTTCAGATATGTGCCAAACAACGTATAACTTATTCTACTAATAAGTTCGTCATACATAATCAATACTGCACACAAATTTGTAAACAGCGAATTAATTTCCAATTTTTGTAGTTGGTTAGTTATACAACTAAAATATCTTTGAAGGTTGTTGAAATAGCTCTTCGTTAAATACAATTTCTACATTATTTACTCCAGTGAATTGTAAACTAGTGCAAGTTGTTTCTAAAATGAACAAACTGTTAATGATAAGTAAAAGACATAAAATATTCAAAAGAGGGAAAGAAAAAAGTCTACAATTACCGCTTAACTTGTGAAGTATTAAATATTTTACATTTTTAAATAAACAAAACAATAACAGTTTTTCTTGTCTTCTGATCGATATTCTTTCTTTTTTTAAAAAATTATTTTTTGGTTTACTTAGGTGATGGAAAGTTATAGCAAATTAGGTGTTACAGTTCTGCTTGCTCAAATGAAAGGTATGTTACAAACACTAACGTGGTGATTACTTTTTCTGAGAAATGTTTATACTTGATTGGAATAGTAAATGTTCAAAACAGTTATGTACTCTTAAATTTTGAGGGAGTTGTAGAGATTTGGAATTATTTCAAGTTGTTATTCATCGTAGACTGATATCAGTTGGAGGAACAAAGGAAACCTGGGAGCACTGGACAGCCATTTCGTCCTAGTATGGGACTCCTCAGCAGTGCGCACCCACGACCCCACCAGCAGGGATCGAACCCGCCACCTTCAGGTTCCGCGGCCAGCGCGTTACCATTGAGCCACTGGGTCAGAATCCAATGCTCCAGTCAGTCTACGATGAATAACAACTTGAAATATTTCCAAATCTCCACAACTCCCTCAAAATTTAATTGAACTGGTGATCATTGGTGACTAGTTTCGAGAAGTATTCCCGAAGTTTCAATGACAAGTCGTGACCGGTGGAGTCAAAGCCTGATGGCCATGAGGACAAATACTCAGCGATGACATTGGATGGCGGCTGCACTATATATCGTGAGCTAACAGAAGTTGGAAATATGGAGCATTGGATTCTGACCCAGTGGGTCAATGGTAACGCGCTGGCCGCGGAACCTGAAGGTCACGGGTTCGATCCCTGCTGGTGGGGTCGTGGGTGCGCACTGCTGAGGAGTCCCATACTAGGACGTAACAGCTGTCCAGTGCTCCCAGGTTTCCTTTGTTCCTCCAACTGATGTCAGTCTACGATGAATAACAACTTGAAGTTATATACTCTGCTGGATTTCTCAATCTTTAGGAGAATGCACATTTAAATCTAATGTCAAAAAAAAATGTTAATTTTACTCGATAGCAAACCCAGTGATTTGAGTTCACTCACTTCTGTATAATGCATCACATGTTTTTAACTCCTTTATCCTCCAGTGATAAATGTAATAATCTTTTCCTTCAAAATAAATCCTCAATCAAAGTGACATGCGTAATAGTCAAATGCTTAGACTAACTAAACTTTCAGGAGTGACTTTAAAGGCCACCCTATTAACAAGTGAAATAATTAATCAGACTTCTGTATTTTATAAAAATCTGACTTTCCCGCCAAAATGGAGAAACCTAATTGGTTGTTCCAATCGTTGCTTGGGTTGCCTGAAATGTCGGGTGGCTTTAAAGGTCACCCTAACAACCACTGAAATGACTTATCAGGCTTTGATGTTTTGCCTGTAAAGGTACACTTCTTTAAAATAAAGGAATGTAATTGGCTGTCTCATCAGTTGCAAGGGTGGCCTTCAAAGTCACTCATCATGAATTGAACCAAAATTCAAAATTTTGTACGTATTTTATTAATTTATTTACTAGTATTGTGATTATTATTCCTTCAGTCTCAACTTATAAAAATTAATCTCTGCCAAGGTCACCTATTCCAAAGAACATGACAAATTACATTTTGTGACATTATGATGATTATTTGTCCCTTGGGTTCCTAATGGAACATACGGCTTCAGTAGCACGTCTCCAATGCGCTCTGTTCTCTGAAATCTTTTGAACCTGGCTCCGCGACTGCCCACAACCTCTCATTTCATCCTCGCACCATCTCCTCCATGTCACCCTCGCCACCGACGCCCAACTCGTCGCTCCCCATCTGGGCTCCACTCGACGACCTGAACTGGCGCGTGATGTCCCAGTCGGCCTTCTCAGTGTATACCCAATCAAATCTGTCTCCACTTCCTTCAACTGCATATTTGTTGAGCGACAGGTTCTTGGTTGGTTCCTTCCAAGAGTTCCTTGTTACTTATTCTTATCATTCTGGCCATCTGATCTTCAGTGACGAGCCAGCGTAGGTGGAAGTTGTTGATGAATATCTGTAGTTTGTTGGAAATGCCTTTCGTAACGCGCCAAGTCTCTGAGCCATACACAAGCACTGACTTGTCTGACGTTGGTGATGAAAATCCGGATCTTGTTCCACATGCTGAGTGCAGAAGATCTCCACACTGATTTCAGGTTAATGAACGCCTATCTTGCTTTTCCAATTCTGACTTTGACATCCTCGTCTGTGCCTGTGCCGCCGCCTGTAGTTGAAACAGTGCTGCCTAGATAGGTGAAGGAGGCTACTTCCTTTAAGTTTCTCCCGTTCATGGTGATTGGAGTTTGTTGTTGTTTGGGTATCTTCATCACTTCTGTCTTCTCTATATTCACTTGAAGTCCCGTCTTCGATGCCCTGCCTCCTCTGTCAACTTGTTAGTTTTCACCTGTAGATCTTCTAGTTTGTGCGACAAGACATTAGACACAAGTCATAGGTGAAATCCAAGTCTTCTAGGTTATTTTCCGCAGTCCAGTGTATCCCCCTCTTCTTGTTCCCCACTGTTTGTTGTATGATCCGGTCGACCACAATCAGGAATATCATGGGGGATAGTAGGCAACCTTGTTTCACCCCTTTTTTCACTTCAAAAGCATCACTGAGCTTCCCATTGTGAATTACTTGGCATGTGGCTTCTTCGTATAGTTGTTGAATGAGGCTGATGAAGGTTTGTAGTATTCCGTGGTATTGAAGCAGCTGCCTGCCAAATAACCTCTCGGTCGACGCTGTCAAAGGCCTTTTCGACGTCGATAAAATCAAGGTAGAGAGTTGACTGTCATTCTATACTCTGTTATATGATGATGCGTAGTGTAGCGTAGCAATTTGGTCCTCACATGATTTGTACTTCCTGAAGACAGCCAGCCAGATTGTCCCGGTGGTAGTTTTGAATCCAGTGCATCCTTCAGCCTCTCCAGGATGATGCGGCTTAATATTTTGCTTGCTTTGTATGGACAGGAGAGTGATTCTGCACCAGTTCTTGCAAACACTTAGGTCGTCCTTCTTCCACAGTTTGACAAGGTAACCCTTCTTCCAATCACCAGGTACCTTCACTTCCTTCCACACCTTCTGCAATAGTGGTGTGGTGTCAGCATGTCCACTGTTGTCTCTGCGTCTGTTCTCAGTGCTTCTGGAGGGATTCCATCTGGTCCTGCTGCTTCCCTGCATTTCAGTAGCTTCATGGTGCTCAGGACCCCCACCTTTGTTGGAGGATTTATGTTCACTTGTAGTCTGTGGCTAGGCTGCAGGTGGTGATGGTGGTTGATTCAAGAGCTTTTTGAGATGGTCAGCCCATTGTTTCCTTTGTTTCTCTTCTTTCGTAATTAAATTTCCTTCTTCATCTTTTATTGGTTTCATCTGTGTTGATCTCTTCCCTGATAGCAACCTGGTTATTTGATACAATATTGTCAGGTCTCTCTTACCTGCAGCCTGTTCTGCTTCACTTGCCAATGTATCGTAGAAGTGTCTTTTGTTTTCCATGCACTCTTCTTCACTTCTTTATCCAGTGTTTTATACATTGTACTCAGTTTCTCTTGTCGTTGTGCATTCTTGCATTGGTTCATCTTCTGCTCCACCATCCTCCTCTCCCTGTTCTATCAGCTTCCATGTATCCATCAAGATCCATTCCTTATCCTATCTTCTTTCTTCTTCCCTTTTAATACAGTTATGCAGGTTTCTTTCCACATAGATTTCAAAGACTTCCAGTGCTCATCCACACACGTTTCTTCAGGGATGTTCCTCGATATCTCCCATTTTGTCTTGATGACTGACTGACGTGAAGATTTCCTTTGCAGTTTCGTCCTTCAGTGCAGTTTCTGTTCTGGATGTTGTACTTGAACCGCGGTCTATCACCAGCTTCCTTGAAGGCTTTTAACTAGATAGTGAGTGGTGTGAACCTACTTCTGCTCCTCTTCTTGACCTTGTGTCAAGTGGGCTGACTGTGTCTCCACTTTCTTCACATTGAGATGAAGTCGATCTGATTTTTAGTGTGTCCCGGTGTCTGGTGAGATCAAATCCATGTCGCTCGCTTTGTGGATATCCTTGTATTTGAACACACTGCCTGACTCCAATCACCAAATCGTTGAATGTGAATAAATCTGCAAACAGTTCTCCATTCTCACTCATCATTTCACTGAGCGCTTCTCGACGCATGCTTACTTCTCTTCCTGTGTTGTCTGCTCCCAGTTTGGCTGACATTCATGTCACCCCACACATTAGAATTTTGATATCGCCAACTGACGTCTTGTCTAATGTTGATTGTAGTTGTCTGTAGAATTCCTCCTTCTTCTCTTCATCTGCATTATTTGTAGGTGCATAGCGTAGCGTAGCCTAGTGTAGCACTGAATGATTGTCACCTTCCTTCCTTCTGAGTTGAACCTTGCTGTCATGATCCTGGAGGAGGAGATTGGTTCCCACTGCATGACAGCCTTCGATGCTGTTGAGAGGGGACATCATGATGGCCACTCGAAGACTCAGTGTGCTCGTGGTTGTCGTCTGGGTGACCATAGTAGATTATTGATTCTCCAGTTGACAGTTTGGACAGCCTAATCCCATTCCATCTGCTTTCGCAAATCCCAAGCACTTCGATGTGATACCTTCTCATCTCTTTTGCAATCTGGGCTGCCTTCTGGGTTCAAACATCGTACGGACATTCCGTGTCCCCACTTTAACTTTCGCTTTCATCGAGAGAGAGAAGACACATCGGCCAATTGGCTTCCCGAAGGCTTTCACCAACTGGCGTCATTTCGCCTCTCCGATTCCAGCGAGAAATCGTTTTGTTTTCATTTTTTATATTTTGTTTGTGCTTTGAAGTTTCTTTAGTGGTTAGATTTGTTTTCCGGTGTAGGGTTGCTAGCCGTATGCCCAACCTTTCGTGTTTACCTGTGCTTAAGACCGGCTAGTAACTAGTGAACTAGTTAACCAGACGAGGTTACATTTTGTGACATAAAAGCACTTAATACACGAAGTCATTAATTTCAGGTGTATTATTTCAATTTTCTGAATTTGAAAAATATTCTCAGTACTTCCTTACTCAACAATATTAGAGCAAATTTTTTGTCTAGGTACGATAAAGTATACAAGCATGTATAGACACATTTTAAGAATAAACACACTAGTTGTTGTAGGCCTTAACTACAACTTCTCCAGCTCAGCAATGCACAAAATCAAGACAAATAAGAAAACATGGAAACTGACAAGAATGTTCCAAAGCAGTCGCATGAAATAGTTATCTCTCCGTGATGCAAACGATGGTCCAAAATCCAATCTCTCTATTCATATCAGGTGTTTGCAAAATACAGATGGCGTAGTAGACTTTTCGCCTCTTTTAGCTGAGCCAATGAGAGTCCACTACTGATGAGCTCGACTTCAAACAAGTATCTGGCTAGCAAGCTCTGCTGATCAGGGTGACTGATCAAAAACTATTCGTGTCAAGTGGTAGTGTATTTTGTACCAGTCTCTCGTCAGTAAATTATCAGAATTCTCGTACGATGTTATAACAGTGGTATAAAATAACCATATCTAATCTCTGATGTTTTTATCTAGGATGACATTGACGTTTTTGAGCCTACCTTTACTGATACTGCACTTTTCAAGATACGGAAAACTTGAAGACCTTCCATATTCATTTCATTTCTGTAGCATTAGTTTCAGATCCTTATTCCGAAATTGATTTTGTTATGATTCAGTCAAAAAGTAATGTTCATTTGAATAAAAGCTGCCAGCAAGAGGATAAATCTCTATTGATTTTCTTTAGGAAACAGACTAAATATGGGTACATTGAAACTACAATAAAGTATTAGCATGGGTAGCACAAGTCCTGCCATCAATGATGATGAATGTTTCAATTGACTGAGTAACCGTAATCAGCTTAGTAATTGCTGACAACCACAACATCTGTCAGTCGACGTCCCCAGGACATTTCAATAAGTCTTGTAACCCAGCAGGTCCTTATCATACTGCGTCATATGTCAGTGATAGGTGCTTATTCTTCAAGTCTTCTAACTGTGAGTAGCTAGTAAGATACTAAGGTTCCGGCTTAATCTTACATTTTTCGCTACAAACTGTTCCACCTACCTTACAATTACTCAGTTAATATCCCAATATGTTCAAAGTCTTTTACGTTTGTCTTTTTGATAGCAGATGGAATTAATTTGCTGTTCTACGTTCAAAACTACTGCATTCTACTGAGTTAATTCGGTTTGAAATAACTTTCATTTTTAGATACGTTAAGATTAGAGTTCCTGAAACCTCCAACAGTATGAAAACCTAATGCAGCCTTGTAATTGTTTTGGTTTTCATTATTAGGAGCACGACACATCTTTTGTTTACGTTTTTAGGTAAACGAAACAACACAAAGAATAATATGTCATGTGTTAATTCAAGTTCCCGTTTCATCAGTGGCTATATCGGTTGCGAAGCCAGTTTTTCTGCATAACAATCAGATAGAAAAGCTGAACACATCTTTTATATTACTTTGCTATTTGACATAACTTTGACCTGAGATTTCCGAACACTCCTTGAAACACTAGTGAAGCTCTTTTTAGTATCAAGGTACTTGGCAAAAGTTAGCCAAACATTTTTTTATCAGAGACTTACTTCATCTTCAAAAAAATGGATTGAGTGCTTTCATAAGATTAGTTTATGTTTATTAGGATGGATAGTCGTTCACTTCTTAGTATTCCAAGCTGACAACTTGAGTAACTTTGCCAACTGATGGTGAGAATGATGATCAGCACTTTCTTTATCAAAGCATCCTTCATTATTAATTTTGATTAAAGCTGTTGGTGTTCTGCTTTACTTCATTGTAATCAACTTACATTAGGTTATTTCTGTAGATGGAAAGCAGTATAATATGTATATTAAGAATAATCTCCGTTTTCATTTCTACCTACTTTCAGATAGCCTAATTCATACACTACAAAATAATAAAAAGATTGGAGATTTAACCACAGTCTATCCAACTGTTCACGATGCAGTATACGATGCGCTAGATAAACTGAGTAAAATGAAAGTTGAAAACTACGATTTGATAAAATCACCAAATGAAGATGTAGAACATACAAAAGGCATTTTTAGCTTTGTTGATGTTAAGTTATCGGATCTTTCGAGAAATTCTTCAACAGCTAGCAAAAGAGCATGATCTAATTCAGCCAATACACCACAAATTTGAACTGACAGTCAAATTCACTATTCTACACTTTTTCATAATTTACAACCGAATTTCTTTATTACTTTTATATATATATGTACTTATTTTTAATAGACTTTTTAATTACTTGTATACAATCTTGTTACGCTAGTGAAAATTATATCCTTTGCCTACATAAAACAAAGACTTTAATCAAAGTAAAGACGTCAAATGAAAAGCTAAAAAAGAAACAGTAATCGATCTGATTTAATTAAAATCCTGTAAAAAAAAAACATCTCTAAACTTGTTCGACTTTATGGGCATAAAATAGAATGAAAGTATCTGATTGAACATTGGCTAGGATTAGTAGGATTATTAGTGATATTTCAACTGAATAACTTATATTCGTGTCAACGTTTGCACTTGAATCCAGAAATGCCAGAAAGTGTTGTGTACTTGGCGTCTTGTACTGTTGATACATTATAACTTCTAGTTGTCTAATTTTACTGAATTTAATTTGTCAATCTCTCATGATGAAAAAGATCGAAACTATTGGCGAGAGAAATGAATATGCTTCTTTTAAATTCGACAAAGGTGTAAACAATGCAATTAGGTTGTGTTAGGAAGGACAGAAATATTAAGAGACTGTATATTGATAAATTTGTAGGAAAAGACAACTTCACTTGACTCAAATGTATTAAACACGTTCTGTCTGGTTTCATAAAATTTTTGATCGAGAAAACTTGAATGCAAAACAGAAAATTAGATTAAGCTCTAAAAACATTTCAGTTTGTTTTGCAATATTTATGGGAGGAACAGATCATGAGAAGTGTGAATTTTACCGGAATTAGTCCTATTGAGAATTTCTTGATGAGCTTCTCAAACATTTGACAAACTTTTATAGGCGTAAGCAACTGATTAATCTTGAGCACTAGTTGTAAATGAAGAGTGTATCAATTAACTAGCTGATCATATTGGCTATTAATTCAAATACAACGTGAACAGCAAAGAAAAATGTTAAATCTAGAAGGCGATTATGAAGCACAAAGAAAGTGTGTTTCTATCCTCCAGTATAATGAATAACTCGAATTTCGTACCTTTCATCTTCTGACTTCCTTGAAATCTTTGTATATTATGTGTCTGTCAATCAGTATAGTTCACAATATAAGATTTACTCTGTTCTAATCGAACTGAGCTGGTATCCATGTACATACCCGTGTATATTTTAAAAAGTATCCAAAACAATGAGTATTATACAATTGTGATCACTAAGCATTTTATAGATACATCGGGTTCGGTAGTCTTTTGAATTCTGTTACTGAATGAAAAAAATAATCCATGAATAAAATGAAAGAAAAACGGACTTTACTGAATCGCCATTAAGAATAAATCATTTGAAGCTCAGATTTTCAAAGAGATTTACAATTTTACATTTTAATTCATACCTAAAAATTTCCACACAGCTATATGACATAACAAGACTTTGAAAGGAAGTTTAGTCAACACGATCAAATCTTAAATAGAATAACTAGATACGGAGTAAATCATCTCATTTCCGTATGATGAAGTCATCATCATCTTCCATTGTTCATATGTCATCATGTGCTAATGGACAAATGGACGATCTAGTTGACCATGAATTAAAAAATGGATAAAGGGATTAAGAAATTTTTCTTGATGTTATAACGATAGTACACTGAATTTGACTGTATCCAATGGTTGAATTGATAATTGCACACATAACCTAAACACCATCACATAAGCATAACTTTTTATGTACTTTTCTGTTTGAATACAACTGTAAATACCTACATTTTCTCGCAGTTTAAGTAAATTACTGAAATGAACACAAGGCAAGAAAGTCACACCTCTTTTACTGACAGTTCCTCAAGATTTGTAGCTTATTTGTTGATACAACTTTATAACACATCCATAACACAATAACTTAGATATATGTAACAAAGCTGTCTGACTTCAAAATGAGGGGTTTAGTTTATATTTAACTGACTATAAATTTTCAACAATACAGCATGTAACAATCATCAACAGGCTTTAATGATGCTTTCTATTTTAAAAGTAATACTTAAAATTCAGTTCGAATTAGTTAATTTTTTTTACATATGTGCAATAGTCGGCTCAAATATACTCTACCGAGTTGTACTTCATCCTTTCTTCGGTTCATCGTGGCTCTCAACGTCAAGTGAGTACAGGTTTAAGACTGATAGTGTTTTATAAAGAGAAAACTGATCTTTAATTGAGGACTGTTAACAAACGAATACAAAACCTCTGTTTTCTACTTTGAAGTGCAAGTGTTCTATTTCCATAAAGAACCTTTTAACACATATTAGCATTCCTTCGAAACTCACAACCACTTTTCAGTGTAAGAGATCCTACGAAGTCAGTATGATTATCCTGAAAATAAGCATCTAGAATGAAAACTCCTTCTAGTGTAGTTTCTTTTTGTTTCTGTACTTTACAACTTACGCATTATGAAAACTAATGATTACGTTTTGGTTGTCTCAGCGCAACAGTATACTTAGCTGGTAAACAGAATTAATTTTAAACCCGAGAACTTAATGTTGGACAATGAAAGCCATCGGTAAATATTTTTCTTCATCTACAAGCAGCAAATAGCCATGAAAATGCTTTATTATAGGCTACAGTTATGGTATCAATAGTCGGTACAGATAGTGGTGATAGTCAAGTTCATTTCAACGAAAATCAAATACCCACTAGATTTAAAACAGAAGTAATGTAATTCAATATGATATGCGAAAAACGTGTGACACGAGGCCATAACAAATTGTTTTTATATCTTCTTCTTTAAAATACACTAGTGTATATAATGGAGTTTTTTGATATCAGCTAATTGTTATCTACCGGTGTCACTTCTTTTCACTATCTGGTGGCTCATTTGATTCCTAACTGCACTGAGACAAAGAATAAGGTCCAACTTTAAACCTCTTTATACACCTTATATCAAGTGGTACTAATGACTTACAGACAGGACAACTTCGGTTAGGACCTAGGCTCAAAACATCTAGATATAAAAATATTCCACTGCTAACAGATGACTTCACAATAGTGAAGCAGCTGGTTCCACTTATACATGAATGATGACTACTTTCATATGAAGCTTAGTTCTTTGAATTCCCAGGGATTAATGGAAGTTTGATTATATTAAGTGGGTATTTGTACCCGAAAGTAAATTGGATTGATACACAGTAACAGGTTCTGAGTCTGATACGCTGATTTCCAGGTGTTACTTCATGCACCGTTATAACTGACCACAATAAAAAAAATGAGTGAAAGTTCACAAGCATATTCTAACCAGACCATACGAGAAATAGTTACCAGAGTAACTGAATGAATATCTTACCAGTTTTAAAATCTAAGATGAAATGTATCATAGGTCAAAACACAAATAAACTTCTTTTTATGAAACTGTAATTCGCTAGAAATATATACAGTCTCTTGTTTATTTGTCATGAGAAAATCCTCCACAAACTCCATTGTATAAAGAAAATGCATTTCAGAAGTTCGATCATATGAAATTCTGCTACAACTTTGTAAGTGTGGGTGCGCGGCACAATTAGCCTGAGCGGGTGGGACAAAGGATCTCACATCAAAAATGTCCAGTATTCCAACATAAACCAGTTCGTTGCTAGGTTTTATTTAGTCGTCATCCAAACAACTCAAAAGGTTTATTTTCAATGAAAGTAACAAGAACAGCGTGATAACCGATGCTGTCCAAAGATAGAAGATTAAGTTTTATTTGACTATGAGGAATAACATAACGCAAACAAAGCAATACGTGATGGTACTTAATGTAGGAACAGAGTTTCTGTGCCAGTAGTCGTGACCTGATATTCGTGATGAATGATACCAGAAAACCGAAATCTTTTCATTTTTCAAGATATATAACTGTCACAGGGGAAGATCAAAATTCATAATACAATTGTCTATAAAGTAACCACGATTTTTATAGCACAAGAAGATTATATAGAATATGGCTATGACGTGAATGGTCTCTAAATTTCATTTCTGAACGCCATACAGAATCTTTCTTATTAGGAATTTCTTTGAAGATTAAACACTAAACAGCTGAAACTGTTATTTGGGACGATTTTCTGACCTTAATAACGCGAATTATGCTATAACGTTCCTGATGTATTATTATTATTTGTCATCATGTACAGGAAACTCTCATCTAATTGTTTATTCTACTCTTAGTACGGGGTCGAAAATCAGTTAGTTGACTTCATAGGAATTCGTTCTTTAGGAAACAGACAGTAAAGGGAGTCACTGAAAGGGACATGAAAACATAGCAATGACACTATCATATAAATTGAGAAGTATCATGGAATTCGTCCATGTTTACAGATTGGAGCTGAAAGTGCTTGCTGATAATCCATAACACGTATGAATTACTTTAAACTTAGATATACTTATGTATTTTTAAACCTCACAAGTTAAGATGAGGAAGATCAGTAATTTTCTAACACTGATTTCCTGAACGAATTCATTTTCCTTCCTTCTACTAAGTAGGTAGTAATTTTGTTGCTCAACCGGTAGCCAGATGAACGTCTGCTTATGCGAAAATTCGCATATAAGATAAGTTAACGTAGATAAAATGAGGCACATAAACTTACTGATTTATGTGTCTCTTGAATATATGTTCCTACAGTGCGTTTTTACAAACTATATCACACCAATCCATTGGTGTGAATAAAAGCAAAAATATCAAATCTTTTGAAAGTTAGCATAACAGTAGACGGAATAGAGAGACACCTCAATATTATGAAAGCAGTCACCGATGTATGAACTACCAAACAAGTATATTGCTTGGTCGACCTTGTGACTTATATTGGCTTAAGAAGTGGCTGCAAACAGTCAACAACAAAATTCTCTAAATATCTGAATACAAATCGCACCACTGTCATGGGATACACCTACTACCTACTCATTCCTTAGTACCGTAGAGTAATAAAAGTCAGCGATAACAACAGGTG